GATCACCCGGGGGCTCACCTGAGCAGGTCTGAGGAGGTCTCAGGCAAAGTCGAGACCGCCACAAGCCGGAAAATCATACACGTGGGCTCCCTCTAGGGCTTGAAATTGAATTGATCACCGAGTGGCAGGAACGAGAGGAGGCCCATTCACACCTCTCACGTCTCGGTTGTTGTTCGCGTCAAGTGTATGGCTGGAGACATGCACTAGATGTCGACGCAAGCACAAACTCCGTTACCCCAAGTTGGGAAGCTTGTGAGCGTTGTGTGAGTATCTGATATGTCTGATATTCGAATTCTCTTTCTTGCATACTAATGTCTATGTCTATTTCTAGCCCGGTCGGTCTCAAAGAAGCTGCCCTCGACTCGCCTACCTTTCGTGCCACCACCCTCCATTTCTCCGATCAGGTTGATTTTATAGAGAAATGGCTTGACGGATATGCCAAAGCTGCAACAAAGCTCTCGTGCGAGCTGACCGCTCTGGAGAGTGTAGTGAGCAACTTTCTTTCCTACTCGACACATCCTCTCGTTGTCTCGGAAGCGGTCGTTGATCATGATTACACACTTTTGGCTATGAGGAGATGCGGTGAGGGGTCTAAAGATCTTTGGAGTGGGCTCATATCAACAACCAGAAAGTTGGAGTCGTTGATTTCCGAACCCATTCGAGATTTCATTCAAGAGGATCTGCGGCATTTTAAGGTATTGAAGAGCCCCTGAACCAGTTTGTTCTTTTGCAGGATTATCTGATAAGGCTATAGGAAATTCGCCGCAACCTCGAACAATCCCAGAAATCGTACGATTACCTCCAAGCTCGATATGCCTCTCAGTCGAAGTCCAAGGAGGCCTCGGCCCTGAGAGAAGAGGCGTTCCAGCTGCATGAAGCCCACAAGGCCTACCTGAAAGCGGCAATGGACTATTCTGTACAGGGCCCTCAGGTACGAAATGCGCTTGATCGACTTCTGGTTAAGGTCTCCTGCGATCAATGGCGGGAATTCCGGGGATTCCACAACCACAACGGCGGGACCTTTTCGAAATGGTCCCGTGAGATGGATCGTATTAAGGGCTGGCTTCATGAGATGGAAGGGAGTGAGAAATCATCCAAACGAGAGCTGCTATCCACCCGGAAGCACATTGAGGAAGCCGCGGAGTTAGCGGCTCGACCGTCTCGAGAACTGGAGGACTATAATATCTCGACCGTTCCATACCTTGGCTCTCGTCCAATTTCGACACTTAATGTGAGTAAAGAGACGCGACCAGAGAAGCAAGGGTGGCTGTATTTGCGCACATTGTCAGGAAAGCCCACTCGCACTATTTGGGTCAAGCGGTGGGCTTTTCTCAAGCACGGCATATTTGGGTGTCTTGTACAGGGCTCTCGTACTGGTGGCGTTGAAGAGAGTGAACGAATCGGTGTGCTGCTTTGTAGTATTCGTCCTGCATTCCAGGAGGAACGCCGGTTTTGCTTCCAAGTGAAGACCAAGAACAACACCATTCTGCTGCAGGCGGATAACCAAAAGGAGCTGATGGAATGGATTGGCGCCTTCGAGGCGGCCAAACAGAAAGCACTGGAAAACCCCGCAAGCACTGATCTTTCGGTTTCTGGAAAAGTCACTGTTCAAGACCCTGCATTTTCAATTTCTCAACCTCCGGCTACGGAGTTCGCTGCAGACCCTGCAGACTCCCTTACACCCCATGCGAACGATGAGCCTGGAGCAGGAGATCGCAGTATGACGCTTCCTGTTCCAGACCGTGACGGACATATCATGAGAAATAGTACCGATATTGGAAGCAGCAGAAGACCCACAGGCTTGGATAACGAGAGCTCCGCAAGAGAACATGCAAGAGAGCATACCTCTAGACTCATCCAAAAGTTGGATCTTCACCGCAAATCGAACAACGCGGCTCCAATATCTCCTTCCATACCCGGCCCCGCAGGCGGAATAGCCAGTCTCATCTCTGCCAGTCATAATATTCTCCCTTACAGCAATACCGGTCCACTCAACGTGAGTGCTGATGACAAACGAGGTCGGAGTTTAAGCAACGTGGATGAGTCTGGCTCAAGTCTTGCACCTGTCACGCTCGCCAATCCGCCGGCACCCACAAGCATGAGTAAGGCGGCAGTGGTTGTGAGCAATGAAAGAGGTATTGGATTAGGTGTCTCTGATAGCACGGGTGGCATGCCCAGTGGTATGATGGCGAACCTGTGGGGCACCTCTAACTGGGGTTTCATGAACAAGCTTCAACGGGAACAGCGCCAAATCGATGGAGTATCTGGCGACACCCCAGAGGGCCGGCCGTCTTCAACCTTGAGTGATGGCTCAACACACGCGATTGCTGCACAGCCCGATGCAGCGGGTTCTTCAGCGGCACCCCGACATCAGTTAGGTCCACGTCACAGGCAGACAGTAAGCCTTGATGGAGACGATGTTAAGCTCACGCAAGTTGCACTGGGTGTCGGACATGAATATCCCAGCTACTATCCTCAACAATTGAAGATTCAAGATGCTCAGTTCAGATTGCTTTTCCCAGATGTCAAAAGAGCGGAAGCATTGGTCTTGGTATTTAGAGCCACCTGGAGCCCTAACGACCAGCAAGAGTTCCCGGGACGAGCTTATGTCACAACAAGGAACATCTACTTTTACAGTCACCATTTCGGGTTGGTCTTGACTACCGGTGTGTCTCTGGAGAGCATTAAGGAGGTAACTGCAGCTCCTGGACGAGACTGTGACTTCCTTTTCCTTCATACTATTCCACCCCTCGGCAGTGATATTCCTGGCCGGGTTACGATTAAAACTTTCCTTGAACCTCTCCGACTCCTTCAAAAACGGCTCAACTTCTTGATCCAAGGCTCCATTGCGGTCGAGCAGTTGACTTTGGAATCTTTGATCAAAGCGCTGATCAAGATGGACACTGGGTCTCCAGCCCGGACTTCCAGTGCAGATAGCTGGGAAGATCTCTCGTCAGGACTTGCAGACATCAAACACGACGGGGCCAAGGCTACAGACCTGGGTCAGGCAAAGGACATTCGACTCCCTATTTACATCGACAAAGATCTTGAGCTGGATGGAGGCAGGGCTGGCCGTGGTCGGGATATTGCCAAATTCAGACTCCCAACCCAACCCGTGGAGTATGTTCCACAAGGTGATCTTGTCTTGGTGACCGAAAAGATTCTCGATATAAGCCCTAAAGCCTTGTTCCACATATTATTTGGCGACAAAAGCGCCGTGTGGCAGCTTCTTTTACATGAGAGGCAAGCTCGAGGTTCGTCAACTATAAACCCCCAATCTCTTATACATGGCTGACATTCCAAAGAAATCAAACAAGGCCCGTGGGCTAGTACAGAACAGCGGCATCTGAAGCGTGACTTCCACTACAATATCGCCATGACGGATATCCTTGGTAGGCTTGATTATCTATGACCTTGACATCGAGCCATGACTGATTTGTATAGGTCGTACTCACGAAAATGCGATCTCGGATTATCAGATCATCGATGTTCTCAACGATCATCTATGCTACGTGATCACAGATAAGAAGACCCCATGGCATCTTCCTTTCCGCCGTTCGTTCCGGTTGGTTAGCAAGGTTGTCATTACATTCCAGGCCAAGTCGAAGAGCAAGCTCGCCATTTATACGAAAGTTGAGTGGCTGTGGTCTCCCTACGGCCTCAAAAGTAAGTTCTCCCCTCCCACCCCTCCCATTTGAATCGAATACAATAATCTAACATACTCAGATGTGATCGATAAAAAAGCAAGTGATGATCTAGAACAAGACTCCTTAGATCTTGTAGACCTAGTCAGTGACCAAGTACGCCGATTGGGTGCACACAGTCGCACCAAAAAAGCTATCACAATCTTCGGCCACGTCGGACGCCAAAGTCATGTCTCCCAATTTAGTGGTGCTGGTTCCAACCTGAAGCTGGAGCCCCGCAAGCCTCGAACACAGCGTGCCATGCACGAGCTTCTTCTCGAGACCTTCTTGTCATTCCTCGAAACGAGTGTCTCCTTCTTCATGATGTGGGCCTTTGGCGTAGTTCGCTGGTCTTGGAAGACCGTGAGTGCACACAAGATCATCCTGACCATGTTGGGCATAAGTGCAATTCTGAACGGATACTATTCTTCGCGGGATAGTTGGGACTGGTGGCACGAGAGACATGCAGGAAATTTCATGGCACGACTGGGCGTACAGCCAAACCTCGTTATGAGCAAATCTATCTACATGCGGGATATTGATGACGCGGTTGCAAACTCCACAATCTGGCCCGGTACCGGCAATGCCAGTGATTGCTTTGCCACCTTCCACGAGCAGACCATGCGGTATTCGGAAATGCCTCTGTCGCTCAGTCCATCAGGACCCCGGGATGCATTGACCAAGAGCGCCATCAAACGCTTCCAGCAAACCCGTGAGCGTCTTGGCATGTATCGACACAACCTTCTCGTCGCATTGCGTGTTGTGAACAGCATCGAGAAAGAGGTCATCCAGACCGAGTGGGAGCGTTGGCTCCGCGAGGAGGTCCGGCGCTGTCGCCAGGTCGAGGTTCTCCTTGGCGGAGAGGCCACTCAGGGCGACGACTCGCAGCCGGGCCGAACGGCCAAAGCTGAGCGAGTCTTCGCCGAGCATGCAGACAACGTCAAGCAGTGGTATGAGCAGTACTGCTCGAGTTGTCGAATGGAGCAAGAACAGGTCATATTCAATGATCGTGGTGACCTAGTTCCTTGATTTTCTTCCTGCAGCAGTATCTAGCCGTCTCTGAGCATATCAAGCCTTCTGTACAGCCATCTAGCATTTCTTGCTTCTTGCTTATCACTACACCCTGTGGCTAGCTGATCATGTGTATCATGCAAGTTGTTGTTGATTTGAATATACTCTACTCTGGATACCACATGGACAATGTCATTTCACTGCTCTTTTGAATGAGTATTCGTCACATCATGTCGTTAACCCGCGAGGGGTAAAAATGTAATAGGTAGTAATATGTACACATGAGAATCACCGAGCTCCGCGCACTCAGTTCTGCCTCGGCTTCACCTCGCCTTCATGCACAACATAATACGCCACTGTCCCGTCCCCACCCATTCCCTTATCCACCATAGCAAGCAAACACCTTTGTGTGCCCCATTCTTTGGTCACACGAGACTTCTCCTTTTTCTCATAGTACTGAGCCAGCTTCTCTGCCTTTTCAGGATCCAGACTCTCCGCCCTAGCTGCATGCTTGTAGCTCCGACAGATCGATCATGCTCTTCGGCCTTTTGCTTAAACTCAGGAAGCCGGTCAAACACAGCAGCCATATGGCGCAAGCTCCACGGCTGACCCTGTGTAGTTGGCACCACGAAAATGCGCTCCGGCTTGAGGTCATCTTCGCGAATCCCGTTTTCTAGCATGTACAGCTGCTCGTCTGGATGTGTGTACACGCGGTGTGGGGGGGTAGCCGGAGAGTAGAGGGATTGGTTCTCGTGGTGGTTGGCGGGGGTCTTTGCTTAATGTGTTTGAGTTGTCTGCTTGTCCAGGAATGATGTCTCCTATTATAGAGGTCCAGAGGTGTTGGTGTTCGAGGTTGTGCTGTACTTGGGCGGATGTCGCAAGGTGGGGCGAATTATAGCCTTTTTCGGCGATGTGCTCGGTGATGGCCGATGCATTGGGCCGTTTGGTGGCTTCCTGTGTGTTTGCCATCATGGATATCTTGGAATCCTTTTTGGTAAGACTGAAGCAGGAGCTCCGATCGAGAAGCCGCAAATCTCGGGATTTTTTGAGCTTCACCGCCTGTATAGATCTGATCTTATTAGCACCGCCTTCCTCAATTGGATTGTATAGTTGGGATAAGAAGCTTGGAAGTTCCTGGTTTAAAAGGGAGTTTGGGAATGATAATTTGAGGAGTGTCAATTCAATTTTTCCTTCGCCTTTTCATCTTGAGTTCAAGTAAAAAATAAATAAATAAACGAAAAAATTATGTGGGGGTGGTGAGCATAGACTAGGAAGTAAGAACACATGGCATCTTGTTATTCTTTTGTTTCAGGCACAGAAACCTTCCAGGACCCTCATGACGACCTAAGACTATCCTCGGCACAGGGTCATTTCCCACTCGCATAATTTATACAGCCTCTTTGTTCGAGTTGCTTGCATTTCCAACTTGTATACCGCCCAATTTATTGCAATGGGACGACAAAAGCAAGCAGTTCCGCTCCAGAGAGCTCCCTCTCAATTAATGCACCTCTCAGAAGAGTCCGACGTGCCACAAAATGCTGGAAGTGGCAACACAGACATACCTTCCACCACCAATGGAAATGGAAATGTGTCCGGAAACGCATCTGCGGCCCTGGAGACAGTCGCCGAGAGCCCTGGGCTGACGCAGCTTGTGATTTGCGTTCTCGGTATATATGCGGCATTGTAAGTGCCTCGACCGCATTTCGCCTGATTACCTAGACAGGCAAAAGAAACTAATAGGACAAAAAGCCTCTCGTGGGGTGTGCTACAGGAGGCGATCACGACAACCAGCTATCCCGTTCGCCCTGCAACCGTCGCAGAGCCAAACCCTCCAACGGAGCGATTCACTTACTCGCTGGTGTTGAACACGGTCCAATCTTTCTTCGCAGCCGTCACCGGCTTCACATACCTCCTTGATCTCAACCCCGAGTGGCCAAAAGATCCCATCTGTCTTCCCCGCACGCCGGATCATCTTCCCCCTGCTTCTAGTCGCAATCTCCTCGTCACTTGCGTCACCCTTCGGCTACGCCAGTCTCGAACACATCGACTACCTGACCTTCATCCTCGCCAAGTCATGCAAGCTCCTCCCGGTCATGGTCCTGCACCTGACCATCTTCCGCAAGAGATACCCACTGTACAAGTACGGTGTTGTCATGATGGTCACTCTCGGCGTTGCAACTTTCAGTCTGCACCATCCAGGAACTAGTAAGAAAGTTGCTGCCAAGGGCCAGTCTGGATCCTCTGGATGGGGCATCTTCCTGTTGTCCATCAACCTCCTCTTGGATGGCCTGACCAACACCACGCAGGACCACGTCTTCTCCTCGCCCAAGCTGTACACCCGCTTCACCGGACCCCAGATGATGGTCGCTCAGAATGTTCTCTCGACCGTTTTGACTTCTGCGTACCTCCTTATCATGCCGCATCTCTCACAGAGCGGGATTTTGCATAACCTCCTGCCCTTCCCCATTCCCCCGTCCACTGAGACTGAGCTATTTGGTGCCTTCTCTTTCCTCTCCCGCCACCCAGAGGCATTGAGGCATGTTCTTGGGTTCGCGGCATGTGGGGCTATTGGTCAGCTCTTCATCTTCCACACCCTGTCTCGCTTTTCCTCACTGCTGCTTGTCACCGTCACCGTTACACGCAAGATGTTGACTATGCTGCTCAGCGTTTTCTGGTTCGGACATTCTCTGTCCGGCGGCCAGTGGCTGGGGATCAGTCTGGTCTTCGGCGGCATTGGTGCCGAAGCAGTGGTACAAAGATCAGAGAAGAAGGCGAAAGAGCGGTCGAAGATTGAGGCTGCGAAGAAGGAGCTGTGAGATGTTTTGCTAAGCCCGTTAGATAGACTCTCGTCAGAACAGCATTTATACTCCCAAAATATAAATCACAAAGCACAAGTTACAGCCCCTTGGAAGCTTCTTATTTTATATATTTTCTCGAGTCTCTTGTGGGTATATTCTTGAAGTTGTTTGTCTTTTAGAGGGCGTAAGTAATGGGAAGAAGCTCACTTCCGCCCCTCAACCATGATGATATGATATCCAAACCCAGTCTTGACCTCAGCATACTTGGGGTTTCCCGTCGTGCTAGTTTCAAGCTCAAAAGCAACATTCTCAAATGCAGGATCCAGCCCGCCCTTAGTCTTCCACCCGAGCGACCCTCCTGCAGAAAAGAAATTAGCCCTGTTCATTTTGTCCCCCTGAGATTACTTACCCTGTCTAGCCTTGTCCTCCGAGAATTCACGAGCAACTTCATCAAACTTAATGCCATTGCGAAGCTTCTCCAGGGCTTCTTCTTTCTTGGCGTGTTTTTCGCACTAGATATCATTAGAATGAGCGATTTAACAACCCTCCCACTGCCCACAGGATCTGGCGGTATATAGACCAGCTCCAGAACTATAGGTGGAGGATCTGAATCTGGAGGAGAAGAAAAAAACAAAAAACTTACAAGAATGTGTCGCACGTTGATCGACTGTGCGCCTTTCACAGCTCCTCCCTTTCCACCTTTTCCCTTGGCGTCATCCGCGGAGGCATCCTTGCCCTTGCCCTTGGCAGCTTTGGCGTTGTTTTTGGGGGCCATTGTGGACGAGATGGTTCCAGAATATGTTGTTATCGCTGCCTCGTCCGTTGGTTGTCTGGTTTGAGCTGATGTGGGGTCATATCGCTGCCTGAGGTTATAAGGCAGAAAGGGTGCGTGACGTGGATGCGGGTGTATTGTTCCAAGGTTGTCTTCTATGCATATAGAATTATCCCGGTCTAAAGGCTGAGATATCTTGCTCTTCCACAAAACCATTCACATTTTCTTTCCCTTCGTCCTCACTGCGACCCACTCATCCACAACCATTGCTGAGACGAAAGACCACTGAAGTCAGCATACCGGGGGCCTAGAAACCGGTTATCAAGTACTGGTCCCGGCTTGAAAACAAATGGGATTCGACCTTGAAGCTGCACGCATCACCACATTGCCTGAGGATGCATTCTATATATCAGACTTCATTACAGAGGACGAGGAGGATTGGTTACTTCAAAAGGTAAGCGCCAGTGATTGTCTCATGAGCGTGTGTTCTTAGAAACCATGCCTTGAACGATTGATTTTAAATACTGCTCGAATATATGTGCTTGCCATTATATCATTTCTCTTCAACCACCAATGTATACATAGGCGATGCATGCCATTTATTCATGTTCAGACCTCACTCACTGCGACAATCCACAGGTAAAATCAGCGCCGCTGCCGCGCTGGACCCAGCTCTCGCACCGCAGACTACAAACATGGCCATCAGCCCTCACCAAGAGTCATTCTCTTCTTGAATCCCCCCTACCAGCTTGGCTTAGATCACCAATCATCGAGCCGCGGTTTGAGGCCCTGCGTATCTTCAACGATGCCCCCCACAAGGGGCCCAACCATGTTTTAGTAAACGAGTACCAGCCCGGACAAGGGATCATGCCGCATGAAGATGGAGCAGCATACTATCCCCTCGTTGCGACAGTGAGCCTAGGGGCACCGATTGTGCTCGACTTGTACCACAAACTCACCCAAGGCGACAGGGAAGAAAACGGTGCGCCAGCCGAGGCCGGAAGAGATGTTGCCGGGATACCCGACGCAAATCGAAGACCTCAATACAGGATATTGCAGGAGAGGCGGAGCCTGCTGATCACAAGAGGCAAGTTGTACACGGATCTTTTGCATGGCATCGAGGAAACGACGAGAGATGAGGATTTGGGGCCCCACTCTATCTGCAACTGGGAGCTCTTGCGGGAGAGGGAGCCATACCAGAGCGGGTGGTACGAGCGGCAGACAAGGACTAGCCTTACGTACAGGGACGTTCTTCATGTTGTGAAGATGGGAAATACCTTGAAGTTTTTAGGTGGGAGGTAACGAGTATCTCATTTTCATTTCCAAATTCCGGTTCCTTTATTTTGTAGCCCTACATTAGTAGACATAGGGAATCATAAACCACCAGTCCTGCACTGAGTCTTTACCAAACTTCTGCGCATACCACTGCTTGGTATTGCGAGCTGTCAGACCAAGGTTGACCGCAACGAAGGCCAGGCAAGACAACATAGTTTTATTGACCAATTCACCTCGCGGTGCAGCCAACAGCGCCAGCGACAAGTAGACAACGCATTCAGCGCCGTAGTGGGGACAGACAATACCGCGGAACATGGGATGCTCTGGGAGAGTGTATTTTTTCAACGAGTACAGGTAGTGATGGGAGTCGTGCTGCAGACCAGACGCCACCAGGAAGAGCGGGACGAGGAAGAAAGTGCGCAAACTTGGGGCGTTGGTCATCTGCAGATGGGAAATGGTCAGATTTTCGGTCAACAGAGTGCCGGAACCCTCGATCCAGATTGCAACTCCTGCCGCCAGATAGAAAGCCAAGCCCAACAACCAGTGCATAAACCACATCTGTGACGACGAAGGCTTTGAAAAGACAAAGCACTCCCATAGACGCCGAGATCCCTGTACAGCCAACAGCACACAGCAGATCACCAACTGAGTCAGGGACATGGAGTGCCGTTGATGGTCCTCGCTAACGCGGGATGCGATGGCTTGGAACACCACACCCCGCGATAGCAATTGCGCAACCCAGAAGACCGACGACACGACAGATGCAACGTAGAAGTGCGTGAAATAGCTATGTGGCACCTGCCAAGTAGCGAGATAGTCAAGGAAGCCCTTGTTTTCCGTGGAGGGATTCTGGGCACGAGGTGGTGCAGAGCCGGTGGAGATCGAGCCCGAGGTCGCGCGTGGGCCATAGGCGAGGAAGCGGGACCGGAGTGAGGTTGGGATGCTGATCGAGATAGTCTGCATACCAGGGGTCGGCGTTAGTTGGGTTCATCTGCAGGTGGTGTTCACTATCACCACTATCACAGGGCGTATCGTACCGTGGCGGCGGCCAGCAGGAAGAACGCGCGCAGAGCATCCACGGCATCCATACCGGTGACTTCCAGGGTGTTATCGACCCATTGAGAGATTAGAGACATGGCTCTTGGACGAGCTTTTTCCCTCCTCCTTCTCGTATTTTTCTTTTCCCGTTTCTGTTTCGTATTTGTTTCTAATTTAGTGTCATGGTGACGATATCAGTGAGGTGTTTTAGGGAGGTGTTTATTGTGGAGAAATCCAGCCCCCCCGCCGATCCTGCAGGTCTTGCCAACGGGGGCGTTTGGAGTTAGTTCGGCCTCGGGATTAGTTTGGAAATTGGGGCCAATTAGGGTAGATTTCAGATAGAGGTACTTTGCATGTTGTAGATTTATTTTATAGAAATTCATTATGACAATATTAACAAAAATAGACCCGTCCATGGATAGGCCCATGGATAGGCCGAGATAATGGGCTGATATGCTGAGTGGCGACTTTTTGGAGGCAAACCCACTTGACCGCATTTGGTCTAGCCTGGCTGAGATGTTTGCTGGGTTTGCAACTTCCGAATTAGGGCTAGTGGTCAGAGGTCTGTGCCCCCTTTTTTCACGGTCTCACGGTATCAATCGTATCGAGCTCCCGTATAGAGTATTCACCCTCGGAACAGGAAGAACATTGAACATTCAAGAAAGAAAAGAAAAAAAAAAAAGTAAAATATAAGGAGTACAAACGTCAACCCCTCCCAAGATCAAGCATGTTTCCAGTAGCCAAAAGCCCCCACCTGCAGCTCGATGATTCTACTGTGGCCAAACCTGACCCAGTGAGGAGCCCTACGCCCAATGAATCCAGTCCCATTCCTTTCCCTTCCCGCTTTTCCTCTTCCCTTCTCTTTCTTCCCCCATTCAACCCCCCCAAGTGAAAAACAACCCTCGATTTCACCCTCGATCTATATCCCTATACCAGTAAATCCAATATCCGGAGTTCCTCGACCATCCCGTATCGCTCCCGTACCCCGGAGCGGTATTGCCCACGTTTCAAGACTCTCTTTGCGGGTGAAAACCCGCGGTCGAGGATCGGCGTTCGCGCACAACTGCTGGCGTTGTCGACCACGGTTGTTTTGTCGGTCGCGTTTCCCCCCAAAATGACGAGCGGCATTTCAAGTCTTCGAGTGCTATCGCTATGAGTGATGTCGAGGCAGTCTCTTTACCAGCTGCCCTGGACGTCGGTCAGAACAGGCTTGCCACGGTAAAGCCAGATCCTGTTGATGCTTCATCACCAGGCAAAGCTCGTGCAAACTCTTACCCACGGGTAGACAGCGATGGACTGACACGTGTACATTCAGAGGGGGAGGAGGATGGGCCTCCTAGTCCTAGGGCAGATTCGGAGGCGGAGACAATAATTCAATCAGGTCGAGAGTCCTTGTCGCCGGAGAAGAAAAGGAAGCATATCAAGCACGATCCGAGTCGTCATGAGCTAAATGGAACCGATGGACACCAGCGAAAGAAACCACGGGTGTTTGGCGACACTCACGAACGCGAACGGGAAAAGGAGCGGAGTCTTTCTCCAAGCCACCGAGCAACATCGCCGTCGGTGGTCAAGATCGAAAAGGATGATTCTCATATGTCAGAAACGGAAGGCGTCGCCAACGGGATCGACCGTGCGTCAGAGATAGCTCGTGCCTTCCGTAAACGAAGCTTAAGCGACAGTGCCGAGGAACAACGAGATCGTCGTCGCGCAAACTCCCACACAGCATCCCATCCTGTGCGGGAGCTTAAACATACCAATAATACGCGCCTCTCCAGGCCTCCATCCAACACGCGATCACTCTCACCCAGGCGACCATCTCACCAACGATCTGCTTCGGGCTCCCAGTTTCCGACAAAGAAGAAGGCACCAACCCCCGTGCTCACAGGCTCTGGGCGACAAAGCTCCGAAGATAGACAATCGACATCCTCCTCTCAAAGCGGTTCTCCACTGCCGGGGGCGCATCTGCGGAAGCTTGGCTCTGGAGTTGGTGCGTCCGCGTCGCCTGCTAAGCAAATGGGACCGAAGAAACTGCGTGACAAGAGTGGCCGGACTCCTCTTGCGCGGGCATGCGCGGATCGGAAACATGATCAAGTGATGATGCGCCATGCCGAACGACCTGAAGACATTAATATCCCCGATAATGCAGGCAACACCCCCCTGCAGATCGCATCGCTTGCTGGAGAAGCCGAGATCGTCAAGTTCCTGCTAGATGCAGGTTGTGAGATCAATACTAAAAACATTGACAAAGACACCCCGTTGATTGATGCTGTGGAGAACGGGAATGTGGAGGTGGTCAAACTTTTGCTTGATGCAGGTGCAAACCCACGAACTGTGAATGCGGAAGGCGATGAGCCTTATGAGCTGGTCCCATCCTTTGTAGATGACGATGAGTACGATGAGATGCGGAAAGCGCTTGCTGATGCCAAAGCCAATTTGCGGCCTGGTCGACGCTCAGAGGAACATACAAGACCAGAGAGCAAGGAACCTTCTTCACGACGAGCTTCGGCAGTCAGAGGATCGGCAGCTAGCCCCCGAGATTCGCCTCCGATGCGCAGCCCTCCCCCAGTGGGCGCGTCAAATCGGCGAAAGGGTGGACGAAGCGAAGCCACGAGAAACGATCTTCTGTGGACCAAACCCACATTCGAGAACCTTCGCGAGTTTGCTGCTAAAGGCGATGAGGCTGGGGTTGTGAGCATTCTGAATATTCTGCAGAAAGCTGACAATGCTTCCTTGATTGCTGCAGCAAAGGGTGGGCACCACGATGTCCTCTCTCTTTTGTATGCGATGGGTAACGCAGATGCGGATCCAAACCCGTTGCGTGGGCAAAAGCCGGGTTACAACACGCCTATGCTTGCTGCGATTGGTCGTGGAAACAGCGCTGTTATTCAGCTTATCCTGAACCAACCCGGATTCAATCCCACGCGACGACTGTTTGAAGACAGGACATATTTTGAACTGTCTCGGGGTCGACAGGGTGAGAACTGGGAGGATGAGTATCAGATTCTGAAGGAGGCCTATGAAAGGTTTGCAGGTTCCGATAAGGGTCGCAAAGACGACTCACCCCGCCGTGCTCGTGGAAAAGAGAAGGAGGAGAAACGTCCCCCACGCAGAGGGTCTTCCTCCCCGTCGCGCGTAAAAAAAAACAACAGCCCCAACGCCAACAGAAATCGCGATTCTTTAAAAGACATGGATTCAACCAAAGAAAAGCGTCGTCAAAAAGAACACGATTCATCACGACCATCGGATCCCTCCAAGCCCAAATCTTCTTTATCCGCCAGACGAGACAGCGAGTCTAGTGGGATGGCACCCAACGAAGACATCCGAAAGAGACGACTCATTGCTGGGCGTCGCCCCCAGGAGCGTAGACCAAGTCTCTTTTCGTCTGATTCACTCTCTGGACGTGAAGAGGCACCGAAGCCACGTGTTGATACAGCAACTGACAACACATTGTCTTTGAAGCGCATTCGCACTGATGGTTCCCCGGAACGATCTCGTTCGCGCGGCACAGATGGCGATCGCTTATCTCCCGAGTCCCGCAAAAAGAAGAGACGGGTGATCTCAGAAGATAAGCCTTCTGGTGCGACACATGGTGCACCAAGGCAGCCTGATGATACCAGCAAACCCCATCCTCGCCGACCCTACGATGACTCTACTCGGACTGCTGAACCTCAACCGCACAAATCCACCGATACCTCCAAGAAGCCCCCGATTCGCCCGACTTCACCACGTCATGATCCTGCCACACGTCAGGATCCCATCAAAAGGAACGGCGATACGAAGAGGGAATCGCACGAGCCCAGAGTCGACACCGTAGAAGACACAATGGCCGTCGCGAAACGTATGGAGCTTGAAGCCCATGAACGTCGAAGAGCCCAGGCCAAGAAGGCACAAGAGGAGCGTGCCGCGAACGAAAAGCGTGTTGCAGAGGAAGCCGAACGCGATCGGCTTGCCAAAGAAGAAGCTGAACGAGTGGCCAAGGTTGAAAAAGCCGAAGAGGAAGATCGCAAACGCAAGGAGGTTGAACAACGACGCGCCAAACAAGCCGAAGATGATCGTCTGAAGCGATTGGAACAAGAACGCGCTCGAGCTGCTAAGATGCGCCGTGATCAGGAGGCAGCAGAGCACCGGCGCCGTGAGGCACTTCCCAGCCGCCTTCGTGTTGCGGCGAACCTCGTGGGCTCCAACAATCCCCGTGCGAAAAGCCACGACTGGCTCAAGTCTTTCATGCCTCTCGTCACTGCTCTCACCCGTCAAATCGATCCCAGCTGTGGTGTGGATGTCGCCGACGAGAAATGGATACCGAACTACTTGGTTGCGCCTCTTCTTGCTACCAATGATCTGCAACTTTCGCAATACGCTAGCTGGGAGAAGCGAAGGGCGACACCCACTCAACGTGTGAATCTGTGGCGAGTCACCCGTCGCATGTTGACCCATACAGATGATGTTGGATTCCAAAGCTCGAGCATCGGACAGATCATGCAGAAGGATTGTGACACAAGACCCAAGTATTTCGAGATGGAGCATGTGTTCTGGATCCGAGTAAGTTTTCTTGAGCCTTGAAAGTTATGCTGCCCAACTAACAAGTCTTAGCTTTCCGATTTCACAGACCTCGTCCCACACATTCCTCACCTGCATGGCTTAGAACTGCAATTCTTGAGCATGCACGTCGATCCGGAGCCCCCGATGGCTGGCGCAGGCTTCAGCACTCCCGAACTCAATGGCCATAGCCTGGGAGCCTCGGTCGATACCAACGGAACCGGGCTCAATGGCTATGGCCCTCCTCGATCTAGTACATACGTCTAGTTTTGTTTTCAGCGTCTTTTCGCTAGGTGTCAGCAATTCAGCGAAGTGGTGTACAGGGTGGATTCTGATTGTACGATTATGATACCTCTTGCGTTCAGTGATGATCCTACTATTGGGTAGTTTTGCTGTGGTTTCTTTTGTAGTCACTGTGGTCATGAATTGTAACCATGCATCCCGTGTCAATAACATCAAGTTCAAACAACTTACCTCCTCATAACGATATAGATATTTGCAGAACGGCAGCAAATCAATTACTAAGTCAGTGATCTAAAGATCAGATTAAACCCGTCATCACACTGTACTCAACGCATTCGCCCGTGGACAGCCATTGTATGTAAACAATATCACGTGACCAAGTCTGCGGGGACCGCATGACATAATCGTAGGGCACACACAGCCGAAAAAAGTCGAAATAGCGGGAAATTTCACGCCGCCCGCACCACTTCTTAATTTCTCTCTCCAACAACTCTACTCTTCGAGGATCATCCGATTTCAAGCATAACAAGCAACAAAATGGTATGTTCCATATCTGCGAATTACCCTCACGCCATACCACCCCCGCCTCTGTTTTCCCACGACAATTGAGATACTGGAATGGACATGGCCGGCGACAGCGACTGCGTTGCCGCAACAGAGGCTACCCCTCGTCGGCTCTCTTATCTATGCGCTGCACCGGGCTAGTCCAATTCAAATTCTCAAGAGTCACGACAACTATCCAAGCAATGGAACCAACGAAGCACACAATACTAACAAGAATCCTCTAGTCGGACGGAGAAGAGCCCACATCCCCTGTCGCCCCCGCCGAGGAGGTCGAGGTTTCTGCCGATGCCGGCAGCGGCCAGATGTCCGTCCTGGACGCCCTCAAGGGTGTTCTGCGCGTCTCCCTGATCCACGACGGTCTTGCCCGTGGTCTCCGTGAGGCCGCCAAGGCCCTCGACCGCCGTGAGGCCCACATGTGTGTCCTGAACGAGGGCTGCGAGGAGGAGGCTTACAAGAAGCTCGTTGTCGCTCTCTGCTCCGAGCACAAGATCCCCCTCATCAAGGTTCCCGACGGAAAGATGCTCGGCGAGTGGGTCGGTCTCTGTATGTGTTCCCTCTATTCATCCGGAATACTCATTTGGGGACGTGTTTGCTAATGTTTTGTTCTTCAGGCACTCTCGACCGTGAGGGTAACGCCCGCAAGGTTGTCAACTGCTCTTGCGTCGTTGTCAAGGACTGGGGTGAGGAGTCCCAGGAGCGCTCCGTTCTCCTCAACTACTTCCAGACCGAGCAGTAGATTATTTCTACTGAGCGGCTGTGAGTAGAAGGTCTCGCTTCAGGCATCGGGATCGACTGGGGTTTTGCGGTGGGGATCAATGAGGAATACATGAGAGATAGATCAATGTCGAAACTACTGGCTGGACTCGGAGTATACCCTCTGGGTTTGGTTTTTATGTTGGTGGAGATTTGATATCTCTGTTTGGTCTTTTGAACCTGTCATTTCGAATCACCTAGTCTATAGCCGTGCCCCGTTTACTCGGGTTCGCGGCACCAATGGCATCTGGACATCTTGTCTACTTTGACAAAAAAAAAAGATAAATTAGGATGTGTAGCATCTGTGCGTCTTGTAACAGCTTTTTAGCACATGTGAGATCAACATTGTCCCATTATGTCTGATCGATGTTTTCGAGGTCCTGCAGTCTCCAGAATAGCTTGACAGGCTTCGAGCTCGCACACTAACTGAATTTACCCCGAAGTCTTACAAGAGGGTGATAAGGATGAGGATGCAATCCAAAAACATTGTCCCGCCGGAAGTTACAGGTTGCTGGGAGCGAGATGCAACAGAGGAGCGAATACCTGCTGGGCCGGGTATAAGGGATTTGAAAGGGAGATTATTCGGCAAAAAGCAGACGCGGCACAAGCTATCACAGGAGAAAGCCGTTGTAGGAGGCAAACGAGGCTGCAAAGTGCCATAGTACGATGCTAATGACCGTGTGATAAGATCTATAACGAGGACAACCATACCTGGAAAGGCCGAGGACTCCGTTGAAGGTTTTTGGCGAGCGTGGTCTCTGTTCATATTCATATATGCCTGTGATAAGCCATAGCCAATACGAGTGGACTTGTATGAAACCGTAAAGGAAAGCATTCTGTGTCTTCCTAATCTCCAGAAGTCGGGAATTTCCACCTTCTTAGGGCCATCCTAGAATATATTAAGAAAAGAGATTTAATAGAGTCATGCCTTATAAGCTACCTAGGTATTCATCGGGTCTCTGGTCGTGTATGCGCCGGTAGTTTATACTCTTTAAGGGTTATAAAGTAGGGCTGGAGAGTGGATCCTCCTGAGTCAGCCGGATTTTGTTCCAACTCCGTGTTTCTTTGTTTCATTGAAGGCTCTTTGAGGAAAATCGAGATTTTCTCCTTTTTTCCCCCTTCTTTTCGTAAATCCTAATCTTGATGAAGCATGCAGATTGCCTTTATTTGCCATACTTCTACTCCGTATTAGGATTTACATCTTTTTTGAGACAAGCATTCTCCAATATCCTAAACCCAACCTAATTTCCCAATCCCGAATCCCACCGGGCACCGGGATGGAATCCGCTCAAATCCCAGGTGGGACCCCTGCGCCGTATGGCAGCGCATGTATGAACTGTTCCCGTGCCAAGTGCAAATGTATTATTCCCGCAACTGGTACTGGCTGCGAAAGGTGAGTGGCACTGCTAGAGAGTGTGGCAATAGCCCGAACTAAGCACCGGGTTAGATGCCAGCGCCTGAGCAAGGAATGCCGGCCTGCGCAGACAGTGCGCAAGCGAAATAAGCCGAAGTCCAGTTCTAATACTGCCCATCTCGAGGCCAAAATTGATTGGATCATGTCCGCGTTTGAAAAGGGTGGTGCTTCCCCCAGTCTTCCTCCAGATTGGCAACCTGTAAACCTAGGACAGAGTCAACGGCATGATCCAAGACAATCTGCACCGATCACTCAAACCCCAACTAGTGTTTCTTCTTCAAATGCCGAGGAGGGACAGTACCCTGCACAATTTCTGCCCTCGTATGATCGGGATATCTTGGGACTGATCTACGTCCCGCCCGCCATGGCTCAGAAGTACCTCGACCAATTCCGCACTCGGAACTTGCAATATCTCCCCTTTCTCTACATTCCTTCCAACGTAACCTCTGACCAACTGCGCGAGAAATATCCATTCCTTTGGGTATGTATTATGGAAGTGATCACATGTATAAACTCAGAAAAAGGTGACTCTTTCGGGAAAATCACCAATCATATCCATCAGAGAGTTATGCTCGATATTGCGCCGAGCATGGATCTTCTCCTTGGGATCATGACTTTCATATCATGGTGAGCAGAAAAAAAGTACCCTTATGAAAACCGCTTTCCTCATTACAGTTCTCTTTACAGGGTTACATACAGTAAAAGGCCATTTCTTAATGTCTATGCACACATACTAATGGCAGTTGTCGCTGAACTTGGGATTAATAAAAGTGTCCCAAATGAGTACTCTGCCATGCATTCATTCAAAGTTGCTATTGGAATGAAGCAAACTCCACCCACAGCCAGAACACTAGAAGAGAGGAGGGCTGTACTGGGATGCTTCTTGATATCATCAAGGTAAATAATACACATCCAAAGGAGCGTTCTAAACAATAATTAACAGCTGTATTACTAGCGCCGCATTAGCAATGTCCAGGATCGACGCTATGCGCTGGACACCGCACATGGAAGAAAGCCTTTCAGTACTCACTGAGGCTAAGGAGTGCCCCGAAGATGAACTTCTGATTGCACTAGTCAAGATTCATTTAGTCTTAGACAGAGTCTATCAACTGCGGTGGGATGGTGAAGCTTTCATATCGCTACCATTCTATCTCGACAGCTTCAAAAATCAATTAGACACAGTGAAGAGCCAAATTCCGCCTCATCTTCAACAGCACAGTATGTTTCTACCCCCCTCAAGTCTCCACAGACATGACTAACAAGACGAAAGGAGTCTTACTGATGTATCTTTACAATGCCGAAATTGTAATCAACGAACTATCGATAGGAGCACCTGCCATGCCACATTCACCTGATCTCCATCGCCTTGACAGCCTTTACACCTCCCTCCGAGCAACAAAAGGCTGGCTCGAGGATGGCTAGAACTTGAAGGAGAGGAGTACCTACAGGTATCATGTGTCATTTTTTTCCAATTCACTCGAGCCATCGTCAACCTGTACAAGCTCACCATTCTGGAGGACCCGGCATGGTCCAAAAGTATGGTCCGAGACACCGCAAATGTCCTCGAATACCTGAACAGAAACGAAGCCGTCATCAGAAAGTGCCCAGAGTATATCACTTTCGACCAAAGCAGGGAAATGAACATCCTCGAAAAGGGATTGAGAATGGTCCAAGGCATGAGAATGAACTGGGAGCCAAAATTGATGGAAATGTGGCGTCCAAATATGCCTGCGAACAACGGTATCGATAGTGGCACGATCCAATCTGATGCTATACTACCCGATGTTATGCCTTTTGGTGGTATTGATGAGGCCTGGATGATGGACTTCCTTGGGTCGTTATGAATCTTGGTCTGTGATGTTTGAAACCGTGACTAGAGGATGGGATGGGTTGAACAGCTTTATACATAATATTATATACCCCAGCATACTGTTGTCGTATGCTTGAAGTCGTTCACAGTTTGCAATATACGCATACCCGCGAACTCTGAGGCTACGGAAATGATTTTCTACTCACCTAGGAGCACCAGGGTCTACACAATCCAACACAACGTTGAAATGCAGCGTACCCTCGCTAACATGCATGTCGAGATGCACGCTAACCAAGGGCTAAGACGCTGGGGGAATTCATGGAATCCCATGTGATTTGCGGGGAAACGCTTACAGGCCACTTGGCCTATCCTTCAAGTCACAACGGCTTGATTGTCAAGCAGCTGAAATATCTATTGTTTTGCACAAAGACTGCCATTTATGAGTACGGGCTGAATGGCCATTCTCATAATGGTACCTCGGAATCCTATCATGTGGGCTTTTGATACGGTATCCATCATGTATATGGTGGCCATCACTGTAAGTGTTTCAACTTGGCGCGTCTGGGCCACAGCACTGAGGATATTCCAGGCATTAGGATATCTTTTATGGACCGTGGTATACAACCTATACATTAGCCCACTGTCGAAATTCCCAGGACCGAAACTTGCCGCATGCACCAATCTCCAAAACCTATACTGGACATCAACAGGGCAGTATCACTACAAACTCAAGGAACTTCATGATAAGTATGGAGATGTAGTTCGCACAGCCCCCAAATCTCTTGTATATCGCAACCCGCAGGCATGGAAAGATATATATGGCCACCGCAAAGCTGGAGCCAGGTCATTCCTGAAAGACCCCAAGTTCTACCTCCAGGGGCCGAGAGGGCCAAACCTCCTCAACGCCAACGACGAAGATCATTCAAGAGAAAGGAGATTGCTCTCGCATGCCTTCTCCGAAAAGGCCCTGCGTGAGCAAGAAAGCCTTGTTCAGTCATATGTTGACATGTTGGTGGACCGACTGAAAGGGACGATTTCATCATCACGGGAAACAGTCGACATGTCTCAGTGGTACAACTTCACCACATTCGACATTATAGGAGACTTGGCCTTTGGGGAGCCCTTTGACTGCTTACAGGAAAGCCAATATCACCCATGGGTCGAGATGGTTTTTGTGAGCCTGAAAGTGTTGGCACTGTCGAGACCACTATTAGTCTATCCTTTTTTGGCACCTATTGTTAGGACGCTGCTCCCGAAAAGGCTCACAAAGATGCGAGAAGACACATTTACTTTGGCAACAAACAAAGTCCATCGCCGATTGGAGACCGAGGTTGAACGGCAGGATTTCATGACTTACATCTTGCGATACAATGATGACAGGTCCATGACTGTACGGGAGATGGAAGCAAATGCCGCTTTGCTGATCCTCGCAGGGAGTGAGACGACCGCCAGCCTACTCTCCGGATTCACCTATTATATTATGGCAAACCCACCGGCCTATCGGAAACTCGTGGATGAGATCCGAGAATCATTCAATTCTTACGAAGAGATTGATTTTCAAAGAGTTGGTCAACTGACTTACCTGAATGCAGCACTCGAGGAAAGTCTGCGGGTGTACCCACCTGTCCCAGCTGTTACTCCGCGGATTGTACCTAAGGAGGGTGCATTGATCGACGGGCAGTTCGTTCCAGAGAACGTATGTCTCTGCTTTCAAGTGCGATCTTTATGTATATTGACTTCAACAGGTTTCTGTGTCTGGGGCCCACTATTCTACCTACCATTCCGAGTCTCATTTTGCCGATGCGGACTCGTTTATCCCTGAGAGATGGCTAGAGAGCAGAGACAAACGCTTCGAGTCGGACAATCGGCCAGCAGTTCAACCATTCTCACTTGGGCCCCGTAACTGTCTTGGAAGAAAGTGAGTTTTAGTTCGATATCTGGAATCGAGCTAATTGTATCCTTCCACAGCCTTGCCTATGCAGAAATGCGCCTAATTGCGACCAAGATTTTCTGGAGCTTTGACATGACCATGGATGAGAGTTCAACTGGTTGGGTAATCCAGGAATCCTACAATATCTGGGAACGCAAGCCATTGATGGTGAAGCTGTCGCTGGCACAACATTGAAAGTGTTGACGAAATTAGCAACGCTTTTGCTTTTAGTTTGGTGTGACCGAGGACTGTGGATTGATTGCAATGCAATGTACATAGGTAGCCATTTATATGAAGGCTTATAGGATCACTCACCATATTCGTGATACGAGACGCGAACATTGAATAGCATGTCGCTGTCAATAGCATGCTAATATCTGCCAATAAAGAAAATTCTCGATGCTGTATATGCGTGTCATGCATATGAATGACACTTGTCTCACAGTTTACTTGCCTTTATTATTACTGTGAATGTACATATCTATATCTTGCCGCGAATCTTGTGGCACATACATGTATAAGGTTGTCCCACAATAGTTAGTCCTTGTTATCCCTATAAACATGTGTGCAACCCTCGAACTGAGACATCAATCAACGTTGGAACTGCGGAACTGACATTGAGATTTAGCCGAGCATCCGGGCATAGGACAAGGTTGCACATTTCAAGGCAAGACTTGAGGACTTGATCCTTTTCAACAATCTAGCCCAACTCCAGTTTTAAAATTACACAGCGTGAAGTTTAAGTGAGTTGACCGTTAGGTTTATCAAGCTTTCCCGGTGATGCCGGCTCAATGGCAAACCGAGATATCTAGATCAGGCGACATGCACATTTGACAAGGCCCTAAATAATGTAACGCAACCCAAAAGCAAAGAAGAAAACACAAGATAAGGCACGAAGGCAAAGTGGCACGCTCGGATAGCAAATTCGAGTATAAAGCTTGCTTCTCATCCGGCACTTAATCCACTCCTCACCATTGACTATTCCAAATCATCGCAATCAACAAAAACCATGTCTAGTTTTGTCAGTATCCTTGCACTTGTGCCTTTGGCACTGGCTGCCAGCCCGATCATGTTGGTCCCTAATCAGGTACGGCTATGGAGCGTCTTCACACCTGATCAACCCGTTTACTCTTTATCTAGTCCATGATTTTCAAAGAAAACGACTACGCAGTGAACGCTGGTAGAAAAGGAATACCCATTGCGTCTGATGGAAATTGCATGAATTTTGACAACATACCCGACTAGTAAGTTGAATATTCTTCGCATACCTATGAAGTTTTGTTGACCAAAGTATCAGCCGCATGAATGTTGGATCAATCTATGTCCCATGTCCGTCCGAGGTCAAGCAGGACGTGATGTGCTCAATGTACACGTAAGTAGATAACATCCGACTACAAGTGATTAGTGCTAAATCATCTAGCGACAACTCCTGCAACAACGAGCTGTTCACGTTTACCCGACCCCATGCGAATTTGCTCAGACGAGCTGTTGCCGATGGTGTAGGCAGACACGTTAGAAGCATCAAATGCATGACGGTCCATTCTCCTGCTGACAGACAGGGACATATCTTCTCAAGTGATCACGTCTCTACCAAGAGCCCAAGCAACTGCCCCAATGACAGCTGTTCCAGTGAGCTGAGCTGTCAGTCAAACCACCCGGATTATGGCATGTACTGCTCTTCAAGCTCCATGACCTGCCAGAGAACCTCTGTAGCTGGCGCCCTTTGCAGAGAGGACGGCCAGTGTGTTGCGGGTCACTGTCAGAGCGGAATGTGTATGGCTGTTGCAGAGAATCTGCGTTGCCAGCGGGGTTCTGAGTGTCCTTCTGGCCTGCGGTGTCGTCCTAACCGAGTTCGCAATTCGTCTGGAGCATCTAGTGTCGAGATGGTCTGCATGAAAGATGAGGATGTTCGTGGCATGCAGTGCTCGGCTGAAAAGCCTTGTAAAGAGCATATGTCGTGCAGTCTTCAACATGAAACCAACACGTATTGTGAGTGGGATGGTACTTGCGCACTGAATAACATGAGTTGCGTGTCCGGCAGTCAATGTTGCTCTGGAGTTTGCAGGGCCAATTTATGCCAGTGATAGTCTTCGTGGAGGATGTCGAGTTTGAAGGAAATGGTATCTAAATTGAGATAGTGACTGGATTCTAGCTGGTAATATGCATGTTAGCTGAGGATAATCGAGGTTTAGTGATAATGGGAAATTTTCTCTCTGCTCTGAAGTTGCACCTCTCTTAAATCTTCCTAACTCGACACGCCCAAAGACATTACCCCACGGATGTTTATAGGGAACTTAGCCTACGCACATTTGATCAGGTTTACAGAGTAACCATATTTGTCAAACCAGCTCAGTCCTATGTAAGTCATTCAAAATTGTTTCTAGTCCTTTTGGGGACAGAGCCGCTGAATTATTCCCAATGCATCCCCCGAATCTCATTGACAATATCTTCTGCACCTTTCACACCATGTATAAGTCCCACAGAGGCTCCTGCATATGTCGCGAGTCTCCCTTCAGGCCCCCAGCCCTTATCACCCGTCTTAACAGCTTCATCATGAAGCCTTTTCAGTTCCTCAAAAGGCTTCCCTTGCTGCTGCTCAACAAATGATTTGTTCACAATAGTCCGGGGGCTATATTCCTCTGGCCACCCAAACGTGCCCCTGAGTTGGTTATACAGTAAAGTACGCGTGGTTGAGGCTGCACCGTCGTCCGCACGTACAACCTCGTCCTGGTAACCCCGGCTGATGCGTGCTTCACTGGCAGCCAGGAATCGAGTCCCCAATACCACACCTGAAGCTCCAAGGCACATCGCCGCTGCAACACCGCGCCCATCTGCAATTCCGCCAGCCGCAAACAACGGAATTTTGCTGTCTGCCATGGCGTCTGCAACTTCGGGGAACAGTGCCATAAGCCCCATTCCATCTTTCGCCCGACCGTGGCCACCGGATTCAGCTCCTTGCACGACAACAATATCTGGTCGCTCACGGTTCTGAAGAAGCTCCTTTGCCTCCTTCAGAGTGCCAATCTGAATCCAGATCTGGGTGTCAGGGGATACTTGACGGATCTTGCTAGACCAGTCGTCATATTCCTTAGGTCCCTGACGCGGGGCATATAGCCAGGCTGCACATGGTTTATGCTTCTGAATTACCGCGACTGCAACAGCGATATCATCAGCCCAGAGCTGGTATCCTATGCCGACAGGTAGTGTCGAGCCGAGAGATGGTATTATGCTGGCCTCTTGGCGTATGAGCGATGATGCTTTTTCAAGATCATCACTCGTGTCCTGTGTTTTGGCACCGGGGCCAATGAACCCTAGTCCACCGGCGCGAGAGACGGCTACTGCCAGTGCTGGACCTGACATTACTTTCATGGGAGCGCTGACCACAAATGGACCAGATACCCATGGGTATCGCGATAGCAGGCTTGCTGCCATGGTTCGTGCTCGAGAAGGTTGCCAGGTATTTGGATAATGTTGCAATAAGATTATTTGCCTATGCGACTAGACGTGTGGGAGGAAGCTTGTTTTGAATGATGCAGAGTTACCGAGGCATTTTCGTCGACGTCACATCGGTAGCTCCGCAATATCCGCATTGCCCACTAAGTAATCTTCCCAGCGTGCTTATCTTATAGTAGGCACGGAGGTCTACTTAGTAAAGAGGGTGAACTTGGTCTAATATAATATTGATACACTATATTTCTAAGGTTGAAGTAATATACTATAACGCGATAGAACTATACGGGCGGTAATAGTATAACGGGATGATGGAATGAAATATGTACTAGTAGAGATACGGGCCCTGGGGTATTAGGAGGATTTAAATACCTCCGACCTGACCGGTGTAGATAAGATAGGAAAATGTCATGTGACTTGTTAGGGACACGGACATTGGAGGTGAACTACGTCCTGCAGCCGCAATACCCACGGGTCGATTTCCCCACTCATCTCCTCCGCAATACCCTTCTTATCCCTCATTCCCACTCGGAAATTGCGGGATCTCACCCTGCATATTGTTCGAAGATATGCCACAATCCGAATTCAAGCGAAAGCGTTCCCGTGTTGCATGTGAGCCGTGCCGGGAGCGTAAAAGAAAATGTGATGGGGCCGAGCCTTGCAGCACTTGCACTCAATGGGGCTATGACTGCCACTACGAACGTCACTCACGCCAGAGGCACCATGCTCCCCAACAGCCTCCAAGAGGAATTACCCCAAACCCAAGGTCTCCACAGCAAATTAATCCAGTGGATACACATGGGCTGGATCGTCGATTGTGGGCAAACTCCGGTGCTGCATTTGTTCGGAGGATGGGCCTGAATATCGATCCTGCGAAAGCGCCAAAACTCAGCCTGTTTGGTTGGAATATTGGAAAGCGGCAACTGTCATCTGAATCTCAGCCTGTTTACCCTGTGCTGTCAATCACGGATATCACATCCTTGGAACACATGAGGGCCCTCGCTCAGATCTACTTCGCCAAAATTGGTCCATGCTATGGCTTTATTGATTCTTCTCAATTTTTTGAGCGACTGGAGGCTAGATGGCAGCCTCCAATGGTTAGTAGTCTATATGACAGTGTTCTTGGTGGTGTCGCTGCACTGGGTTGTTTGTTTTCCCAACGAAACATGACCATCACCGAATTACATCTCATTGGATCGGCACTTTCTATTCTCGACTCGCACATACTGGGTGGCGCTCCTCCTGTGGAACTTCTCATTGGATGGACATTACGGGTCATATACATGCGAATGACAGACCTGCCTTACTCAACATGGATCGCGAGCTCGAAGTTGATGCATCTGGTGGAAGCTGCGGGATTCCATCTAGAGTCCACTGATTCAGTCTTTCCGCGCAGTATTGACACAGAGTTTGATCCAAACATCCAAAGACGACTCTTCGGCGTGGCACTACATCTTAATATGTGGACATCTTATGATCTTGGTTTATCAAGAGTGTCTTTCCAGAAGAATGATTTGCCATTGCTTCCATCTACTATCGAGGGTGATGGTGATTTCACACATGAGCTGCTGGAACTCATTCCATTATCGGCGAGCTTAGACCCGGGAAAGCCAAAGGAAAATGAGATCGACCTAGAAGAAACGCTTTCGCAGATCTTGGAAAGAGTTCATAATGCGCCTCCCTCAGCCATGGCGCAATGCAATCTTGTTCTTTGCATTCTGCGCAGAATCCACACAGAGAAACTTGAAATTTCCCCTCGCCTTGCAGAAAAAGCCTTAGCGTTGCTGAAAAAGGGACTTGGTTGCTCACGCACTATGGCCAGCACCTGCAATCCCTGGCAACACATGGCAAACGTTCCTTTCCACATCATATGTGTCTTGCTTGTGATGGACACACGCCAATCGCTAGCGATGCTGCCCGAAGCAATGCAGACATTGAAGTTTGTCGCGTCCATTTATGATACAAACACCATGAGAGAAGCCTGGAGTGCCGCTCTCTTGTTAGTTATGCTTCATCAACAGCGGAGGAAAGATGACCTTGCAATCTTCAATAACATCATGAACATGGAGGAGCAAGAAAGTTCAGCTGGACCATCTGCGCAAGAATTTCCAAGCGCGGAAGAGTACTCCTGGCTAGGGGCTTTGGTCGCTGATCTACCTGGCTTGCAAAGGGATGACCTTGATCAATTTCTGAATTCAGATATGATTGATACTTCAAATTTCTTAGGTGGATCTGGATGAGGGAACCCTAGAGGGGCTTATGCTTTTGAGCGGTACTATCTAATTTTATGATATTGTTTTACATTATTTTAACTTCGTTTTCAACTTCCCACCCGAAGCCCCCGGGCCGGTACGGAGTAGATCAACCTGTCATAGCCGTGCGGAAATTGCGGGCGTCTTAGAGTGCCTGGCTGGTAAAATTCTCCGTTCCGCAATACCCGCTTCTATACATTGCAAGTCCACACAAGTCTCGGAAAACTGTCTGTAAAAAGGACATGGAAACTATGAATCTCATTAAAAAAACGTGTGTGCTCCTCGCTACATTATCAAGTTCAAAATGCACGAGAAGTCGATTGGGGCGAACAGCGCTCTTTCGGCACCTCTTTCCAACCCAGCAAGCTACGTTGATTTCAAAGGGGCTGATGACCCCGAGCATCCTCAGAATTGGAGACTATCTAAGAAGTAAGCCACAAGTCTAAATTAGCCAATGACCTGGTTATCCTGAATTCGAACTGACCGCAATTTCCACACAGACTTTTCAACTCTATCTTAGTGTGCTCAGGGACCCTGATCGTCTCGCTCACAAGCGCCATATTCGCACCGGGAATCGACAAAGCAAGCCAAGAGTTTGGGGTCGGAACAGTGGTCGGAACACTGGGCACAACCCTCTATGTCCTTGGCTTTGCATCAGGGCCCGTAATCTGGGCACCTGCGTCAGAACTACGGGGAAGGAAATGGCCTCTGGCAATTGGACTATTAGGCGGTGGAATCTTCACTATTGCGTCGGCAGTGGCCAGAAATATCCAGACCCTGGTAATATGCCGTTTCTTCGCTGGCATGTTTGGCGCAAGCCAACTGACTGTTGTCCCCGGTGTACTGGCCGACCTATACAGCAACACCACTCGAGGTGCTGCAATTTCACTATATGCGCTGACTGTCTTCGTGGGACCGTTCATGGCTCCTTTTGTGGGTGGCTTCATTGCGTCGAGTTATCTTGGCTGGCGGTGGACTCTTTACATCCCGGCAATTTTCAGCCTGGCAAATGGGCTGGTGAGTGTTCTCTTCTTGGATGAGACATATTCGCCTTGTATTCTCGTGGCGAAGGCTGTTGCTATCCGCAAAAGTTCACAGGATAGTAATATCCGTGCCAGACATGAGGACATCGAGGTCAGCATCCCCGATCTCGTGGAGAAATACTTCACACGTCCACTGAAGTTGCTCTTCACGGAGCCTATTATCCTCGTGGTGTCGGTTTACATGTCCTTCATCTACGGCCTTGTCTATGCGCTTCTTGAGGCATATCCCTTCGTCTTCGAGCATACATACGGCATGACTCCTGCCTTTGCGGGCCTAATGTTCATTGGCCTCATTATCGGAGTAGTGCTCGCATGTGCCTTTATTCTTTTCGGGCAGTTGGCCTATGCAAGGAAACTGGAAGAGAATAAGGGCACCCCGGTCCCCGAGTGGCGCCTCGCTCCAACACTCCTAGGAGCGCCTGTTTTCACAATAGGTCTTTTTTGGTGAGCAAGATGCTTTTGTATTAGAATGTTGTCCAATATCAGCTAACTGAAAGTCCACAGGTTTGGCTGGACTGGGTTCACCTCTCAGATTCACTGGGCTGTACCTGCCGCGGCCGGGATATTCATTGGATTTGGGGTGCTGTGTATCTTTCTTCCGTGCTTCAACTATATCGTCGATGCATATTTGCCAATGTAAGTCCTCGGCCTATCTACTCGAAAAAGTCAAAACACCCTACTGACGTACCTGGATATTAGCGCTGCTTCAGCTGTTGCTGCCAATATCATTCTGCGATCAGCAGTAGCCGCAGGGTTCCCGTTATTCTCAAGGCAGATGTTTCAAAACATGGGAATTCAATGGGCTGGCACGTTGCTTGGCTGTTTGGCCGCAATAATGATCCCCATCCCGATCACATTTAGGGCTTATGGACCTTGGTTACGAGGGAAAAGCAAAGTATTCCCATGAAGTCACAAGCTAGAGTGAAGGAAATGGTCTCGTTGGTTGTTTCCATGTTAGAGAGTGGGCTATAGCTGCAGCCAAGCCCACGAGCATATAGAGCGTATATATAAAGAGCTGAAATGGTTATTCACATATTCCAAACACCTAAAAGGCCTGCACCCATCTTAAAAGCTCGATCGAGCTTTAGCTCTGAGTGTAGCTCCAAAGTAAATGAGTGCCAACGGAGCCGGAAGTCCAAATACCAACCCAGCGAAGGCAATCGTGCTGTTTCCCCATCCATAACCAAGAGTTTCGTACATCTTGGGCGCAAATAGCGGGAATAGGAATGCAGTCAGACTGCGCATGAACTGTGAGGCTGCACCGGCACTGCCCGTGTGCTCTGGGTACGACTCCATCACATATGCTTGCAGTGGCAGACCTGTCATTTGCATACCAAGCATACTGATGAAGATACCAATATCAACGACAACCCAGTGCAGCGTGTTTTGGGCTGCCCATCCATACAGAAAAAGGCCGAGGGGGCCAAGTAGAGCACCGGGGAAGAGTAGGTATATGCGCGATTCGGGCACATGTTCGGCGTTAGAACGATAACTGTGACGGCGATATAAGTGGTCCATTGCCTTTGCCCCGATTTGGCTTCCCACGATCTCACCAAGTGCGCAAGCGATGTAGTGCAAGCCACTAATTTCCACAGATTGGCCGTATTGTTTTATCCATAGATCCGAGAAAGTCGACAGCACAATGTATAGAATGCCATAGTAAAATGCAGAAATCACCGAAGCAATTTGGATGATTGGGTGAAAAGCCAGAAGCCGGAGCGGTCTCATGAGAGCTCGACCGAGCACAAAGTAGGGGGAATTGTTCGAGCGAAGACGTTCGTCCTCAGTATAGTATTGTTGGTTTCCGGTTTCCCGTCGGAGCCGCTCCGCTCGAGATCGAAGGATGCATGGCTCGTATGTTTCATGGAAGACACTGAAAGAGACAAGGACCATCACGGCTTGAAAAATTGATGTAGCCCAGAACATCCATCGCCAAGTGGTGCGACCAGCCATGAATCCGCCGATAATAGGACCTGCACTTCGGTGTTAGCATTTAAAACTAGATCCTGGTGAAGAACTGGGATTGCCCATACCCACGGCTGCACCTAGCAAAGGAATCAGCAAGTACACCCCCAACGAGCGACCGCGCTGCTCAGGCCTCCAAACATCTCCAAGTACTCCGCTGGCCAGGGCGTATATAGAACTGGCACCAAACCCAGCCAAGAAGCGAGACGCAATAAGCAGTTCCTTGCTATTCGCAAACCCACACGCAATGTTCCAGACCAAGAACCAAATGTTTGAGGCGTGTAGAATAGGTTTCCTTCCATACACTTCCGACAACGGGCCAATGACCAATGGGCCAAATGCAGTGGCTAGAAGATAGATAGAGAGCGCCATGGCCGATTCTGCTGAGGTCATGTCAAATTCCTTGGCGATTATCGACAGGGCTGGAGCCATGATAGTCGATACCATAATGCGATTGAAGCCGGTCGCGGATAGAACATCTGTCACAGCCCATTTGCGGCCAGTCGGCCAGTCTTTGGGGTTTTCTGCGTCAAAGGGCTCGGCAAAGGTGACCAAGAAGGGGTCATCTTGTTTGGTCTTTGCATTTGGGATTTGGACGAGTTCAATCTCTGCAGTGACAGTAGCGGTGATATCTGCATGGGAAACATTATTTGTATTGGAAGGCATTGTGTACGTCGAGCGATTTGTTGGATCCAAAAAGAAAGGGTATTCAACAGGGTCAGAAAGATCTGATAAGAGATGCAACGCCACTAAGCTGCTTTAGGCTTGCCGCATCTGTTGCTGACCCGATTCGATCGATGACATGGCGTGACACGGATTCCATCGTAGCCGGCTCTTTGACACTGGAGTTGATCTGCCTGTTTGGTAGCAGCGAGAGAAGAAGGATTGATTCTCTGTAGACAAACAGAAACTACATAGGTATGTACCTACCTAGGTAGGTAGTGTCACATATCCCATTAAATATTCAAAATAGGAAAGTACACATTGAACTTCATTCTGGGAAGGTGCGTCTGTTGGGAGTATAAACACCCCCCTCAATCCCCACCCCAAATTCCCCAATTTTTCCTCCTGTTCTTTAGACCTTCTCCCTCTTTCTCTGCGGATAACATGGGTACCTCAAAGTGGGATAGGTATACCGTATAATCTCATCGGATGTCCATCTCAACTATGTGAAGGTCATGTTTGAAACAAATGAGTTGGCGAATGCCGGAATGTAGTCTGTTGTAAGGTACCAGCCTGGCTTGTACATATTGTCCGCAATACGAGTGTGGTTGACGATCAGATTTTGGAAGTTGATGAACGAGATTGCGCGCGACTCATCATAACCCGAAAAGATAGACGTGCCCGCGCTAGTCCCATTGTAGCTCATGTTCTTAATAGTGACGTTGCGAATACCTCTACCTGGCGCCGTATTGTACTTTGTGTTGTACATCACTCGCATATTGATGAGTTGGCCGATGGCGATGTCTTCCACGCGGAAGCCATCTATCAGAACATTTTTAACTAGGTTTTCATCGCCCACATTGATTGCCAGGCTGCCTTGATAGAGCTGCTGGGCCTCGTGTTGGCGGAGGATGTCGACATTCCGGATTGTGATGCCGTCCATGGTCTCGGGGCTTTCGGAGTTTCCATGAGTACCAATGTTGATCGGGTGAGCCACATCCGCCCACAGGGCTGCGTTCTGGATCGTGATGTTGCTGGAATTGCCATAATAATTCCATCGATGCTGGTACAAAGCCACGCAGTCGTCTGAGTTGCGCATGAAGACACCATCAACCACGACGTTCTTGCTACAAAAGAAGTCCAGGCCGTCACCCCACCCAATGGAGCTGAATGATCGGATATTCTTGACGGTCAAACCATCAGCCTCGCCAGCCGTGAGAGTATAACCATTCGGATTCAGGAAGATGATGTCCTCCACCGTGATGTTCTTTGATGACTCTACCAGGAGCGCTCCTGCTTTGGAATGGTTCACCACTCCGCGACCGCTGATGGACGCGTTTGAGACATTTTGAAAAGCGAACGTCGATGTGACTACCGCACCGCCCGCCACATATACCCTTTTACCAGAGGCGACATTTGTAGTTCCGCCTGTGACGTTGTGAACCCCGGGGCCAAAGTATATGACGTTAGGGTCGTCCGCAGAAGGTGGATTTGGGTCAATGGTGTTGGAGAAGAGGTGCAAGCAGTCGAAGATATCATTGTTGACCTGGATGACGAGGTTTCGGGGCTCAGGCAGAGTAAACAAAATCTTCTTGTCTCTGGTGAACGGCTTGATACCGTACGAGTAAGGGCGGATTTGGACAGACTTGATGGGGTCGGTGCCCATGTACTCGACCGAGACATCGACGGGAGCGGAGAAGTCGAAATATGCGACCGAGGTGTCATGATAGATGAAGGATCCAGTAGTAATGTTGACCTCGGCAACCGTCGCTTGGTAGGCCTCTACAGACTTCCACTTGTCCTGGCCTGAGGGAGAGACAGTAGTCTTGAATGTTGTCCGCTGGGTAATACCACTAGGTATGGGATATGTGACAATCGTCTGGCCATTCGTATCTTCCGCCCCACCTAGCCCAAGCAGACAGGTTGCTGCGAATATAAGGGGTAACTTCATCTCGTGAGCCTGTGTGTTTGCTTGTAATCAAGCCCTCTTCGGTGTGTATGGGCTGAGATGTGTATCAAGTAGTCTTGTTTGATTGAGGCTGTTTGGACACGAATATTAGGTACAGGGCTCAAATTATTGCATTTGGGATGTGGAATTTGTGTCCTTTTATATATGTACACACCTTCAACTGATATAATGCGGCCTGCAGGCCTTCTGCAAGTCTCCCCCAGTTACCCCATGAACTCGAAATTTATATCCGCAACCTTGATTTTAACGTTTCCGACTCCCCGAAACTCGTCAGTGCTCAAGCTAAGTACACGAATAGTCTCGCCTATCAAAATAGTCGGCTAGACATTCGGGGCTACAACCGGTGGTTGTATAGGAGATTAAGAGGAGGTCGTGTAATTAGCTAGAGGCAATCAGGTTGACATCAAAGCCAACCGCAGCAAAACTTTAAGCGATAGGATACATGGTAAGGGTTCGACAACCACGATCCATGGATGTACCATGGAGTATGGAAGTTACGATATGGCGCACACTGGACTGACCATGCCTCGGGATCCGGTGCAATTCACGGAGGCAACCTCCGAAAACCCTTCTGCGGGGAAGGAGTTTAGAGCGGGGCAGGCAGGACTCGACATGTGGAGTGAACCTGGCCACTACAGAAAAGAGAGAGGAAAAGTTGAGCTCACATTGCCAGCCGGTGATTCTTCTCGCCCCTCGTTTACTGTCGCAGAGTCAGTCCGTGTTAGCAAGTCTTATATCCAAATACCATTAGACCCATGAGCACGCATTTTGATCTGCGTACGTAAATTGTCTCAGTTCTAGGGATGAATCAAGCCCACGCGTCATATTGTTCAGCGTCAAACTCATCATACGGGGAGACACGCATCGGGAATTCCTCTACTCTAGCTTGGCACAATATCGGCGTCCGGGCTAATTAACGACACACGACGCCGAGGGATAAACAATCGCGCTCCTCGTTATATTTTGGTGAACGGAGCTGATTGCTAAGGCCAATGACAACCTGCCTGGGTTAACACTCTATGTACCTTCCAAGAGATCGGCAATGCAATCTACGCGTAGCTGAATAATAGAAACGGCAATGGCCATTGTCAGGAACCTAGGGTAGCTGCAAGTACCGCTCCGCACGAACCGAATCTGTTGAATATCCTTGGAGTCGGCTGGTCAAAGTGTCCTGCGAACATGTCTCGGAGACCAACTGAGCTGATCCACTGTTGTTCCTGCCCCAAGATGTAGTCCCGATGCAAATAGCGACTTTGATGACGCACCTGGGCAGGTATGTAGATCACAGCCCGGTCCTGTCTGAAACTGTCTCACCTAGCCAAGGCCACTGCGGGTGATGGGTTGACCGCATGGAAGGAACGATATGTTCCTCACAGCCACGACCAAGGATCGATCCTACCTAGGTACCTACCTAGATAGGGAGCCATGCCACCTGGGAAGGATCGAGCCATACCAAATCGGGTATAAACTCCGTGCGTGATCGGCGGCGAACCATGTCTTGCTGAAATGTCAACGGTGGTAAAACTCGGAGGATGTGGGGATCAACCCCGCAAAGTCCTCCGGATCGACAGCTCTGTACAGCTTCCAAGGCTGACCATTTTGGATATTTACCGGTGGTCTTGAGGCCGAGAATACCTAGAGCTTACCACAATTAACCGAAACTAATTGTCCAACATACAACAGCGGATTGTTAGTGGAATGTATAAAATAGACCAAGTCGCACAAGGAGTATCCTGTTTCCATCTCCAGGAAGACCTCAAGATCCAATTTCTTCAGCAATTTCTTCGACCAAAATGAAAGGCTTCACCTATCTCACCACCGCCTTCCTAGCCATTCTACCTGCCCTTGCTATCCCAACGGGATCAAGCCTACAGAAAAAGGCAGACTCGAGTAAAGTCGGCTATTTGGCGGTCTACTGGACGACTGAGGACAATAGCGTTTATTTTGCCCTCAGCAGCAACGATGATGCTCTAGGATTTAAGACTATCAATGGAGGCAAACCGATTGTGTCACCTACGCTTGGGACAAAAGCCGTCAGGGACACATCAATCATTGCCGGACAAGGCAAAAACGCAGGAAAGTTCTATATTTTGGGTACTGATTTGAATATTGATGCGGTATGTCCCAGTCCATCTTTTTGTGAAAACTCGCGTACAGGGTTACTGATCCAACTTAGACAAATTGGGAGGCTAGCACGCGCACCGGATCTCGCGGACTATTTGTTTGGGAGAGCACTGATTTGGTCACTTGGACAAATGAGCGACTGGTGACAGTTGAGGATGAAACGGCTGGAATGGCCTGGGCTCCCGATGCGTACTGGGATTCCTCGAAAGGACAATACTTTGTCCACTGGGCTTCGCAATTGGTATGTTCGAATCTTTCTACCGCCATTTAATCTGCTAACGAGATCAGTACTCTGCGGATGACACCGACCACACCGGCGAGCCTACCCTAAACACCAGTATGCGGTATTCCTACACTAGCGACTTCAAGACCTTTACCACACCAGAGACATATGTGTCACTCGGCGACACCACCGTAATTGATATGGCTTTCCTGGAAGACGAGAACACGCTCACCCGATTCTATGTTACGGGAGGGGGCCCAGTGGAACAGACCAGTACCAACGGACTTTTTGGTGATTGGACTACGGCCAAAGGAACGATCGAGAATAGCTCTGGCTACGAGGCGCCATATGCATTCTGGGATAACGTGGAAAATGGCCTGGCATACCTTCTCTGTGATAAGGTGGGCAGTGTTACTGGAAACCACGCATGGCAGTCGACCGATCAGGCTTCCGGTACATTCACCGTGAATGACACCCACGACTTGGCTTTCATGCGGCATTTGTCAATTCTGCCAGTGACCCAGGATCAATACGATGCATTGTCGGCGTTGTAAGTATGAATTAGCCGCTCCCTTGAAGGTCCCCCGAGTTATTCACATCCGAACATGGAGACTACAATTATGATATTGAATAAACTCAAACAATTGATTTCAAAGGTTGCAAACCCGTATATAGACCCCCTGTTTCGCTATCTCCGCTTATTCGGGGTTATTATCAATCGAACTGTCCACGGCCCATCCATTGAGCATAGTATAGTCGGAATATGGCGAGGTGCCATGCAGGGTCTCATAGTGTTTGCGAGGCCCGCACTCTCTCAACTTGGCAGAGTCTGCGTTGACGCACCGGTGCTGCATGATAGCCGCGATTTGTCGACCCGCATCCAGTCCTTCAAAGTACGCACCGTGGAGGAACCCAAAGAAGGTCGGACTCGTAGCTTCGCCAGCAAACCATAGCCGGCCAGCATTAGCGCGAAGGTTCTGATGCATCTCCAGAGATGTGGCAGGGGGCCAGTTGGAGTAGCTGCCGTAGGCCCAAGGCTCTGAGGTCCAGCGTGGGTACATGAATGCAGTTGGCTCAGGGATATCTTTGTCCGGGAACATCTTGCGCAGAACTTCCATTGCTTCCTTCTTGGTCTGCTCATCAGTTTGGCGCTCGACTCGATAAGCAAACTCGTTGGTCACGGTTACGAAGATGATGTTGGAATCAGGGAGGAATCCGGGAGTAGATAGTGACTGCCAGATCGGGTACCAGCCACGGGTTACAGGATCTGCATAGAGGTGGTATTGTGTTTCCGAGGGCCAGAAGGTTTCGTTAAACTGGAAGAAGATCTTGGTGTATGTTCCCATGTTGAACTTCTGAATAGCTTCCAGCTTCCAATCTGGGAGTTCTGGAGAGAAGTTGACAGCGCCACGTTGTAGAACTCCCAGCGAGAATGTGGTAATAGCATAGTCTGCTTCTACGCAGCTGCCATCTTTGTTGTGAACTCTAACACCATGGTCCGAATACGTGATGTTCGTGACCTCCGTGTTCAAGTGAAGGCGTGGGTCATTATCACGGAGGAAAGTCGACGCAAGCTTTTTGATAATGAAATTCAATCCACGTTGGTCAATAACCAAGTTATCGTGGTCGCTGAAATAATTGAAAGTCAAGTTATCGCCCGCACAGCCGAAGACAAACGAGCTCTCTATTGGGGAGTAAGCAGCTTCAAAGTCTAGTCAAAGATGTTAGTTGATCACGCTAGGTGTATTCACAAGACAGGCAACTTACCCCATGACCACCAGTCAACAGCCTGTGCTTCCATGTCATGTACCTTGGGCGTCCAACCTGCCAAGGCGAGACCTGACTTGGCATTTTGATCCTGCAGATTCTGAGTAAGAATCTCACCTGCCTTTGCATTGGCAATCTCATAGGCCTCGTCATAGGCGTCGATTAGATGGCTATAGTCGAAATAACCATCCTTGTTGTAGGTAGATACATTGTCGTAGTTCGAGAATTTGGTCTTCAGTCCGTATTTTTGAGCCTGTCCGAGGTCAGTTTGAATTTGATGGAAGAAATTTTGAGACATTTTTGAGACCTACCAAGAGCCAGATCGGGTTCTGTGGGCCTCCTTCACTTCCAATACCTTGTACCTGTTTAACTTGTGAGCAGGGTCCTTTGCATCCTTACATGCACCTGAGACATACCCAGTTGGCACCCATCTCAATATTATAGGGCTTCCCATCTTTGTCTTTTCCGAAAGGCTTGTGCCAAGCCCGGCCGCCGATAGTGTCGCGGTACTCGAGAATCACGAAATCGTGCACGGAAGCATTCGTTAGGGCTTGCTATGAACTTTGTCAATAACATTCAGATAAAGAAGATGGGAAACCCACAGCAGCAGTAATACCAGCCACACCACCTCCCCTATACTTAGGTGAGCTTCAGAATCAATTAATAAGAAGTCCAGTACTTACAAGATCGCAACTTTAGTCTTCTTGCAGGTTCCCTCGGTTCGAGCTTGGTGAGGTGCACCGATAACAGGCAGGACAGTGCCTGCTATCGCGGCCAAAAGTGAAAGGTGGTGCAAATACATGGTGAAGCTCTAGAGATCAGAGAGGGGATCGATCGCAATAAATAATCCCGACCCACAGCCCTGGAGAGGGCTGGGCTGAACCGGCACGTAGATAAGAACCCGGTGAGAGAAGATCTACGGAGTACCTTGGGCTGAATGTAAGCGACTCCTCGGACTTTCCGCAATCGGGCAAGTACATGCGGGAAAGAGAAGCATAATATAAACCATTGGATGTACCTAGTGCATATAGACATCTGCGGGGATGGCTTCAATATCCTCCGTTTTCCGATTAAATAATAAATTCTAATCGTAATCTCATTCCTATTACGTTTAGAATCCTGAATTAGGCTGGTACATGAAGAACATTCCTATATAGTCAGGTATACTTACATTTGTCCCGGAATATTTCGAGATAGGCGAATCTATAACGCTTAAGGGTTACTCCTTACGAGTATCTCCCAATGTGCTCAGGATAACGAATATTGTCGGGGGATTACGATAATCTGTACTTACGATAAAATCATGCACAGGCAAAGAACTAGACCACCATTAGTTTCGGCATTAGAGCCTCGGTAGTCATACATACCTGGTATGGCTCGAAAGCTGTGTTGGAAGCTTTGCCGAACATGCGATTGAATTGTTTCAGGCAAAGACTCTGCGAAGCGATTGTTGTTGAGGATTCTTTGGATAAGCTGTAACAAAGAGTAAGAATACCATGTCTTGCACTGGGGACCTGAATACTCACCTCATCGAGTTGAGATAAGCCATGCAAGGTCCGCCGAAGGTCGTTGGCAAATAGAGTCCGCACTATTTTTGCCGAGGTTGTCACACCAATAATTAACCCAAGCTGCTGAGCAAGGTAATAGGCAGTAATCGTTGCTCTAGCATGTCCTCCTCGACTCCGTGCCGACAAAGCTACAAATTGGGTTGTAAATAGACCAGCCATTCCGGTTCCTACAAGGAACACTGGGATCAGACTAAGATAGCTAGCGCTCGAGCGCCAGATAAGGGCGAGCACTGCGAACGAGGCAACTATTGTTCCCAATCCAACAATAGACAGTTTCTTGTATCTCATAGTCCTGTTTCAATGGTTAGACTGGGTCTGCACCCTGTATTTCAGGCCATACGGAACTCACCGGCGAATTAACCGACCATAAATAATTGAACCGAAAGCAATGCCTAGAGCAAATGGTGAAATTACCAGGCTGGATAAGCCGACGTTGGCTCCGCGTAATCGAACATAAAACATTGAAAGGCTCGAAGTGAGCTAATTGATTAGAAGAGAGCATGCGAATATTTCCGATCCGGTACTTACAGAAGACAGGGCAAAGGTTAAGATGGCCTGACCCAGACATATAGCCCAAGACCCATCTTCTTTGAGAGTAGAAGTCGGGATGATCGGATGCCTGGAAAGGTAGAGCTCATTAACCACGAAAAGGGTGGCTGAAGTAACGAAAGCGGCTCCAAAGGTAATCGTTCTGGGGTGGGTTGTCAGAACGTATTGTTGAACGGTCTGTAGCAACACCATTAAAGTCCCGATCGAAATCCCTGGAAAAGAGAGACTGACAAAACCCAGGCCGCGGAGGGGCTTCAAATAAGACATTATCCCTGAATATTGCCGTGGTACGCTTGTGGAAGCTCCTGGAAAGCGCCATAATGCAACGACCAGGCAGACAACAATAAGATGGAACTGACCTATAAATGGCCCGTTTGCTCATTAGTTTATGAATAGATAATTCTCAGGGATAGACACTACCATCGCCAGCCAACAGTCTGAGTTAGTAGTCCTCCGATTGGACCACCAGAGCTTATGCCCAATGTGGAGGCAACTGAAAGGTAGCTTCGTAACACCGCAACTTTGGATGGAGAAACGAGATCTGCGAGACTATCAGCATCACCCTTTGGAAATATGGAGAACCGGGAGTGACACCGACCATTAAGCAAAATTGAAATAACATCGACCAGCCCAGAGCCACCGATCCCTGTCAAGAATCTCGCTGCCATCAACATTTGCATTGACAATGATATACCCCTGCAGTAGCTTTTAGAAATTTGTAATAGGTTGTTTGCTGTCAAAGAACATACGTGACGAGAGTGCCAAAGGCAAAAATATCGAAAGCAATGATGAGGACGGGCTTACGTCCATATGCTGCGCATAGGTGAGCATACTAGGACATATTACGTCCAGGATATTCTGACAGGAAACTTCAAAACTTACCACTGGAAGCGCTACGGAGTACCCAAAATTGTAGCATGATATAAGCCAAGGTCCTAAATCCGATCTTTGGAAGACTTTCCCAATCTCCTCGTTTGTTGCGGTCACAAATGAACCGTCGGCCATCGCGAGGTAAGTACCTTCATGGAATATTTTAGTTACGCGTCTTCGCCAATTGATACTATCACTGTCTCACCTATCATTGCCACCGCCAGAAAGACTCTGTTTACCTGCCCTTCCTCTTGGTCTTCAGTATTTTCGAGAACATGTTCATCGAGCAAGCGCGACGTCTCGCTCAATAATTTATTGCCAGGCATGTCGGAAGTTGCGGTTTTGGCAGCTTGGGAAAAGAACAGTGATATGATAATTCAAGGGTAGGATCAGAGAAGATCAAGTATACCAACACATGTTATCGATCACACCTGTACTACTAGGCATGCGGGAAGATCGGGGAGCTCGCGATGTATTGGATCCGTCACATCCCTGCCCAATAGAAACTGCGGCTGAGGTGAGTCCTTGCATTAAAATTGAGAATATTTGATTGGAATGCAAGAGTGTTATATGTAGCCTGCGTGACTCGTCAAGGGTCAAACGTCCATATCATTGCATATTATTGAGTAGCGAGTTCCGTGAAGACTGCATTCATCAACTGTCAGCTGTGCAATTTAGCTCCATCCTTGCAATACACTTTCTTCGGTGTATTTTCCAAGGCTGGCTTCCTAATTGTTTCCGCGGGGTACGTACCTTATCTGCAGCTGCACGCCATAGTATAATAGTTTCCATCTAGAAGCCACAGTTAGAACAATGAGCAACATTGCAGCAGTTTCCAAGGTTGGCTTCCGAGACTGGAACACCCAAGCAGCCATCATAGTATCAATGGATATATTTTAGGTGCTGGTGATCTACAAATTACCCTTAGCCACCATCACGGCGCTTGTGGGCAGGTTTATTCGCCATGCAGTGAATAATCTTGTCAAGACAGTTGGGAGAAATAGGGAACCCCTGAATTTTTCTCACGGTGGTGTCAATTTGCTTTTTCAGCAGATTCATAGAGACCGGGAGATGATTGGTCCAGTTTGCTCAGTCTTGGATTGGACATGGCTGAACACTTCTGCACAAGCTCCTGAGATACTTCAAGTGCGGTCTCGGTGAGATCTGGTCAGTTTCTGATATATCGAAGCAGTACATAGGGAGTAATTTTCAGGGCCCTTGAGATAGATGGAATTTCCTCATTTCCGAAGTTCAATGACCACAAAAGAGGAAACATATTTGTCCATAGATACAAAAACATAAAAGACATAGTCATGATCTTGGGGAAAAGGCAGAACCATTGCAGCAGTCTGATGGCCACGTCCATTTCACAAGGGAAAGTAAATGCAAAGAAATGCAAAGAAAAAGAACAAACCGAACAGGAACACCGCCGAGCTATGCAAAGGGCCGTGTCAGATGTCATCTGAAGTTTTCCCAAACGCCAAATCAGAGACACCAAAGGTTCAGATAGTAAGGACCAGAAGATTATTCCGGGCGGAAACAAAGATAACAAGAAAAGGAGATGCAAAATATGCTTCCTTTCAGCGGAAACCGTAAGAAGGGCGAACCATTTTCGATACTTCTGGATTCAGAGAGAGCTGCTGGTAAGGCGAGCTTCCTGGGTCATAGTACAGACCTTCGATGTGCCCGTCCTCGCGGCGAAGGGAGATGTAGTAGAATCCAGAGATTGTAAGACCTTGACGAGCATCGGTTGGTGTGATGAAGCATCGTTCTGGGGCATGTTAGCAAAAGCAGAATGTACAGTGGAAGGATACATAATCTCCCGCTACTTACCCTTCCATCTCATCAAGATCCATCCCTTGGACAATTCCTCGGCAATCCACTTCCGGCTCACAAGGTTCCGGGCCATCTCAGCATCTGTCAGATCCTTGAACGGCTGCAATTCACGCCAGTATGTGCTATCAATGTCTGCGTCTGCTTTGAAGTTCTTTGTCTCCAGCGTGTGATTGTTGAAATCGATAATCTCACCCTCCAAGAAAGTTACGATGTGTGCATCATGGGTGGGCGAGGTCTTGTCAGGGATGTTGTAGGCCTCCATCGTGCCAGATAAAGTCATGTCATCATGGTTGATCTGGTGTATGGTGACCTTGACAGGCCAGTTTTCGTCGCGGTTGTTAGCCAAGTATCGGCGGCCACTTGTGGTAGAAACGCTGATTCGGGTGCTATCACTTCCATTTACAATGACAGGTTCACTTGGGGCGTTCGGACTGGGAATGCGTTGCGACAACACTGAACACCCGGCACTCGCAGCTCGTTGACAGCCCGAAAAAGCCATTCCAGATCGAAGCCATGAGCATGCCGGGGGTGGTGCAATGTTCGGAGTGTATAGAATGAAGTCCGTATCTCTCCAAGACTTTGTATCCATCGAGAAGGATAGCCGGCTGTCTGCCAAGACAAGCATACTGTCTTCAAGGGAGTTTGAATACCGAATGCGATCAAGATAGTGGATGGTTTCCCCCAGCACATTGCTCAGGCATGTGTCTGAGTGTAGCTGGCGATGAGCGGCAGCCCGAGCGCGTAGGTCATTGTGGGTGAGGTTGGTATGATGTGAATCCCCGCGCGCCGCAGGACGATAGCGGTATCCCCGAGATGCGAGCCCGATTGTATTTTCAGCGTCCTCGTCAGGAGTGGCATCTGAATAGCGATCGATGATGTAGTTCTCCAGTGTGCGACTTCTTGAAAGCCGAGGCTGACGCCTTGCAGATTGTAATAATGCCGCCACTGCGGAGATCGATGGCCGAGCCTGACTGCTTCCCGGCAGCGTTGCATACTCATGGGGTATCAGTTGGGCGGGGCCAGGGACCTCATTGCGCGGAGGCCGTGCGGGGGGTGTATCTCGACTTGAGGTGGAATGGAGGAAGGGCTCCATTTGATCATCTTCTGACTCTTCGCGCGCAGCACCATCCTCATCATCGGATCCGGGTGCCCATCCATACAACGATCGTGAGTTGGGCATTCGGCCTTCGTAGTTCGGCATGTCGGTTGATCTCTCTTGGCGACGCACAATCGGGATGCGACGGTTGAGTTCAACGGATGTGCGCGGATTGGCGGGATCATCAACCTCCATGCGGTCTTCGTTTTGCGGTGGATTGGTCGGGTAGCGGCGGCGACGCTGTCGGCTCAAGGAGGGTAGTAGCGGGTTGAAGAGAGCTGGTCGCGATCGCAGAAAGTTCACGTTGTCATCGTGAGCGTTGTCAGTCTCCACGGGGGCAGGTGTGGGAATCGACGATCGGCGCGGGGGGTCAGGTGTTGCGGTCGTCGAAGAGAGTGGCGAGCTGTGCTGGAGGATATTAGCTCACGAATTATAGATGGTGGATTGCAAGGACAAAATGTACTGAGTTAGGAGGCGGCATCCTGATCGGAATGCGCCGTCAAGGAGTGTGCAGGATCGACGTTGGCCATGCACGGCCAAGAAACCAATATGTGTGTATAATAAACAATTAATTCTGGGGAAAATGCCCACAAATTGAGATGGAGAAAGTGTTAGATGTTGTGCTTCTAGGACTCTGGAGATGTGGAGATGCCCGCAACATATGACGTTCTTCCTTTCAGCCGGCTCAGGGCCGCCTCTTGAGAGAATCCGTGAATTTCGTCGGACTTCATTGAATTTTATGGGGATGTCAGTTTCATTTCTTGATTATTTGTATTCTTACTTATTTCGATGCATATTTATGAATAAAGTGATACCCCTGGAAGTCAGGAACGTGGACGGCCACCCCTGTCATCCTGCAAAACATTACACCTGTGCACCAACTGGCGGCATCTAAAAAGCGATCTATAAAGGTCATTTCAGGAAAGAAAAAGAAAAGAAAAAGAAAAAAGCCACATATATGCACAACAAGCTTTTATCGGGATTGATATATCCCAGGGCATTAAACCACCAATGGCTCCCCATGTCGGCAATCCGGTTCTTCATTGACAGAAGCGGGGAACCTCCAGGCATTTTCTCGGCTTGTGGATAGGAGGTCCTGTTTGGTGGTTGAATAGTGGCATTCACAAACAACCTTGGAATATATCCATGGATATATATTTCTGGTTTCTAAGGATAAATACGAATGGATTCTTGGACTACCTGGACATGTTGCAAATCCTGTTCTATGACCAATATGTAACCTCCATCAAGATATTGTTCTGATCAGTGTAGTATATGTGCAATTGAAGATCTAGTCCACAGTCTAAAGAAACTAAAGCTCTTGAAGGGCTCACAGACCATCTAAATGTTGCAAATCAGAGCATGCGTGCATCATTGCAATCATCGGCTATCTGGACACATTGTAGGACCATGTTCCAGAAGGCATCGAGATCAACACCCCTGGGAACAGCAACACCCGGACCATCAACAGGAATAGCTATCGAGCGACCCAGCTGACCTGTTGTGGATACATCTTTCCCGTGCTGCCCATCTGTGACAATACTCAAAGCAAAACGCTCGCCGCCTTTATCATCAAAAGCAAGAGCTTGATTGGGGTGTTTGCTGGCAAAGGCTGGATTCAGCGTCGACAATACCACGGCCACAGCAAGAGGATCATGCAGTGGAGGCCCAGTGGTCAAACCAAAGGCATTCTCATATGTGGCAGCAAAGAAATTGAGTAGTGCATGCAATATCTGCCGAAGGATAGTGGGCCCCTCGGTCGACTGGATCGAGCCATGCAAGATGCGCGCTTGAACAGCCTGTGATGCTAAGACCTGATGTGTGAGATCTAAGGCCATGATAGTCGTCTTAGATGCAAGAACTGGGTTGCTAAAGATTGACTCGGCAGACTCCGGGTCGCACTATACCATGGTGAATAGACTAGCCAGAGAGGGATGAAAGAATCGAAAACGTACGTAGAAGTTGAACTCAGCCCATGGGGTCACATTTCCGATCCTGGTCTTCTCACCTGGAAGTCTGCTCATGGGAGCATCAGTGAATCCTTCACCGATGGCACCACCCATAATGCTTAGCCCTTGGATGTGTTCAGCCACCTCGGGGAATGTCGCGAACAACAGTGCGATGTTAGTCAAGGTACCCGTCGCAACTATCCAGGGAGCACCCTTGGGCTGTGCAAGAAGAGCATCTCTCATGGCCAAAATGGCATTCTTATCGGTGATGGGTGCTCTAGTGGCCTTGGGAAGAAGGTCGGTCCCGTCAAGACCAGACTCGCCTAGAAAGTGTTATTAAACATTTCGCTCGCAAGGCCACCATTCCCTACCGTGAATATTGGGCGCATGAAGAGCAGGCCGTGAAAACGGCTTATTGCTTCCGGGATAGACAGGAATATCGGGCTTGCCGATCGCCTCTAGAACGCTGCCAGCATTGGCGGTTGTCTTCTCTAACGATGCATTTCCATGGATAGTACTGATTCCAAGAAGCTCCAAAGATGGATGGTGAGCAGCGATCAAAATTGCAAAGGCATCCTATAACATATTAACAAATGTCTCGCTGAAATGACTTTGAGGCTTACATCATGGCCTAAGAGCAGTCAGTAATATGAAAGCGAGAGGAACACGATGGACTGACCAGGGTCGCAATCCAGCCACAAGGGAGTAGGACTATATTGGGTAGCTGGGTCTAACATGATGTATATCTCAGAGCAACAGATACAATTGAGAATCAAGGGGCCACTTGGGCACTTAAGTACATCTGGCCGGATATAAACAGATCCCCGCATCAATGGATGGCGATAAGGCTTATCGTAAAGCCCTAAGCCCTAGAGTCCCATTTGGGCCAGGTACAGATCATCAACTCCAAAGTTAACTGTCTTGCTTTTAACAGAGAACGCTTTGTTCCTTGGTAGCTATTGAACCAACTCTAAACGCCTATGAGATGAAATGAATGATCCGCTCCGCTCCGGCCTTCAGCCGATATCCCATCTCAAGGCTGGGCCGACAACCTCCAGCTCCAGATCCACCGCGCTGCCTTCCCCGACGACGCTTCAATCTCCTTCGCGTCCTTCCTCTCGACTCCGCGCACAAAGAGATTCTGGTAAGGATGATCCGGACTCTATTAGTGACAAGGCCACTATTGCCCTGATCCGACGCGTCCTGTGCCCCCCAGACAAGCAGCCATGGAGCATCTTCCCCACAGCCTCCGGAAGAGCTGTTACCTCCCCTCACGAGCTCCAATGACGTTGATCGTCAACTCTATGCCCTTCTCGCCATTATAATAAAAGAATTTGTTTATTCGTGGTACTCGAGGATTACCCCGGATCAGGCTCTTGTGAATGAAGTTCTACAAGTAATTGCGCATTGCACGCGTGCACTTGAGCAGAGGCTGCGCCAAATCGACGTTGCACAACTGGTCCTGGACGAGATTCCTGGCCTGGTGGAAGCACATGTACTCTGTGAGACTTGACCATTTTAAAGTTCTTCTTGTCGGGATCCATGGTGGTTCCGCGATGGGGGAAACATTGCTAACTATATGATCTTCCAGCGTACAGACTAGCCAGGCAACAGTCACATCTTTCTGGTCTACCGACGTCGTACCGTACGCTCTATCATGAGCTAAATCCACACCCCGGTCTTTCTCCAGTACCTGATCTAGGGGATCCAGATACGATCGCCGAGCAGATAGAGAACGAAGCGGTGTATCGACGACTACTAGCCAACGGTGTTCTAGCAGTTCTTCTTCCAACGGAAGACCTCGAGAATAGCAGTCTCCGAGCGCTGGTGGTTGATGTTATAGCAGATCTGATCCTGGGAAACCAAATTAGTGGCAGGGCATGCGAAGGATGGTTCATTTGGGAAAATATAGGCAAACTCGCCGCTCAAGTGGGACGTCGTCAAACGCAAGATGACACAAAATCCCCGAACCCTCAAATCAACCGATTAGAGAAATTTGGTTTGCTTTCAGCCGATGATGAGCTGCCAGACCGGCCATCGACGTTCTCAGGCACGGCTTGGATATGGAACCTTCTACAGTGGATTTATCTTGGTTACGTTGTCCTGCGTTTCATTGCGACGGGGTTATTTCGTGTCGCATCGGATCCAGGCCCTTCACACGGTGCCGGTGTTTCACTTGCCTCACCCATCAACCAGAAAAGAGATGGGATGGAGTCGTCAGATGTCATCACAAGTAGGCGCCCAGTTCTCGACTACCGGATCTATTCCATGGTTTCGCAGATTCTAGGAATCTCATGGAGAATGCCATGGCTGAGTGGGTTGCTCTCCCTATTCCAACACCTTATTTTGGCAGGCCCAGGAAGGGTCGGTGCTACGGACGGAATCTTTGATAGGTGAGTTTTCTAATAGTTTTTCTTTTATCTCCGGAGTTCTGCTTCTCTGCAACCCCTCAACGCCCCAACCCTCCTTCTCGAGGGGCTCAGGCCTTGAAATCAATGACTGTGGAGCAACGGTACGATCTCCGAAACACGATCTACGGGTCAAGTGTCACTTGTGCGAGTCAAGGTGGGACATGAAGCGACTTGCTCGCATGCTGCGTCGGTCACTTGACTCTGTAACCCTGGGAGCCTGTCGGATTACGGTCATCTTACGACCTTACGTCTTCTTACTGTACGGTCATTACCGTCAGGCTTACTGTGCTGTTCTGGCATCAGATTGGTTGCCTTCAAATCGGTCCGAGCGACCTTGATTTTCTGTCAAGCAGGGGTGACCGTTGCCGGATGCCCTCTGGTTTTCTTTGAGAGAAGTCCTTGTGTGTGATAGCGCCAGGGCCCGGCCCTTTCCGTGCCGCTCGTCCACTTTTTTTCTGTTGCAAATCTTAAGATTTCCAACATGTGCCAACTTTCGAAGGGTTTTTGCCAAAAAAAGAAAAAGAAAAAGGAATTATGGCCACATCTGGACGGTGATCGCACTCTCGGCAAGAATCGTGCACGAGCAAAAGAAAGGAAAAAAGAAAAGAAAATGCCGATCCATTGGAAGTGGGCTGGGCCATACCTCTTTTGGACGAAAAAGAAACCGTGAATTACTGGTTTCGGTCCAATGAGCGAAATTCCAGCCAGGAAGGATTGGAATTCGTAATCTGACCGAGGTTCGTGCATGAAGCCTCTCCAGGTACGGAGTACGGAGTAGGCGATGTTACCTGAAGAGGGGGTTCTGAGAGAGAAATGATATCCCAATGGCCCAAGCTCCTCTGCCTAAGCCGATCTTGCTCCGCCTCACCCCCACTCTATACGCTCAATTCTCATTTGATGGACAACTTGGACTTTTTCTTAACTAAAATATGCAAGAAAAAAAAGGGGAAAAAAGGCACAACGTCCCGGAAAGCTCCACAGTCGAGATTATCGCTTCGCTTTTTTTTTTTCTGCCTTTTTGGAGACTTGCCCAATTGCTCCGACGTCATGATTTGAGACCTTTGCTAACTCCCACAGATTCCTCCGGGAAACCATTGAGGAGTACGTGCTGACCCCCACTTTGTTGCCCAACCTTCTTCTTGCAACGAGGACCGCTTTGTTCCCAGCCAATACCCGTCCAATACCTCAGATAGCGGCCGGGCATATTGAAGCTCCGACCTCGGCTCTGCAGTCTGTGCAGACCCCGAGGCCCAGTCAGAAAGCTCTCGCACCCACGGTCTCACCTAATACTGCTATTGCGGAAGCAGTCAGGGGCGCTGATACCGATGTCATTAGTAAACCTAATAATCCGGGAACAGCAGCAACAGCGGCAATACTGGAGGGGGTGCCTCAACAGCCACCTCAGGCCGCCCATCGTCACTTTCTACCGTTGCAGCCGATGTCCCAACATCAGAGTTAAATGACCCGGCCGAACCAGTAAAAAGCAACAGCCCATCTAGCACGGAGATCGCCGCTATCAAGCGACGATGTGCAGCTAGTCTCCTGGCTGTGATCCCGCGCTCCGTCGTACGAACTTTCCTTGGTGTTCCTTTGTCGGCGCCTCCGCCCTACAATCGTGACGGTACCTGCAGCTCCAACAGTTCGGCCTCTCTCGTCACATCCCCACCCCCTTCCCCCAGGGCGCACCTTGGATCTTTTCAGGAGGGGAAGGAAAATCTGGCGCCGTCGAATTCGCCTTTGCCTTCGGACCCCTGTCCAGTTGCTTGTGGTCACCTTGCCGCTGAGCGGCTGCGCACAGACGATGATCCGTCTGCGGGGATTGATTGCGAGGAACGACATCTCCTGGAGACAATCGAAGATGATTTTCTAGACCTTTTTGCAGATGAATACTGCAATAAACATCTAGTCTGGAGTATTATCGAGACAGTGTTGGCCAAGGTGCTCCCCGAAATGGCTGAGCGCAGTGTTGAGGATTTACTGGAAGATCGTGGGGTGGCATCAGTGCCGCCTGCATTTGTATAGACTACATATTAGTTGCAGCTTTTTTTTTTATCACCAGACTTAATTAATGAGATATGCCTTACTTATGACTAGCATAAGGTCCGAACCTAAAAATAGTGTGATTGTAGAAGGATCGGGGGGATATAATAGGCAAAATTAATCTGACATGGTTCATACATAGACGAACCCCATGAAATTATGTTCTTTCCGCGTGAGCGGCCCAGATTTAAGAAGAAAGGGGAAAAGAATTAATATGGAAAGAGCGTAAGAAAGAGATGCAGTACAAGAGAGAGGGGTTTCAAGGAAACAGAATGCAAAGAGGAAAAAGAGAACAGGGGATATAGCAAATAGCAAACTAACAGCCAAAGAAAAAAGGCAAGTGAAAAATAAAAAAAAGAAGAAAAAAACCCGAAGAAGAAGGCAAGCGGCAAAACTCCCAAGTCCATGTCCAAGGATGATCCCAAATTCATATATCATATTGCCATGTGCCCATTATTCCATATGCATCCACCTCGTCCAGACTAGGAACCCCAGGGTCCTATTCCCCAAATCCGTAACCCCAAGAATTGCAAAGAAAAGTAGAGGTCGCCCTCTGGATATGTGTATGTTTTTTGTTTGGTTGCCCAGGTTTTATATCTCGTTGCCATTGCTGGCTGAAGAAGACAGGAAATGGATACAAGAGAAAGGTTCGTACAGATGATACCAAAAGAAAGAACAGAATAACAAATGAACCACCGATAAAGGAAAGGAAGAAGAGAAGGGGGAATCACGAATCACGAGTCATAAGTAAAGCAGATAACGTTGGGGAAAGGGAATGCTTCAAGAGATAGAACCAACAATGAGAAAAAGCAAGAGGGGGGGAAATAAATTCATAAAAAGGGGAAGGGAGATATGCAAACCGCAACTTGTTCAAGGCTCATCCCAAGTTGTGGATGCTCCTCTTCTTTGTCACACGTGGGATGGGAACATCCTCATGCTCATCAATGCGCGGCAAGCCACCCAACAGAAACCCAGCCTGACTCTTGGCAAGCTCAAGCCTCTCCATGAGCTTCCCGATTGTCATGTACTCCTGCGCAGCCAAGCCAGAGGGTTGATGGTCAAAGTAGTTGATGACGAGTTCCAGAGCGCGACGAGCCTCGTCCTGGGTCGGTGATCCCGGAGAACTGATGGGCGAGATCGTAGTAGACTTTGATGGCGGCGGCATGGACTTTGTCGTGATCTCTGGGTTGCTGCGATTGCGCTTGATGACGTTTGTCTGGTGGACCGGGCACATGGCGGGCTTGGGATCGTCCATTTCTAGTGGGGATTGTAGGGTGGAGACCGAAAGAGATTCCTGGAGTTCGCGCTTTTGGGGATGCGGGCCTGTGGCTTGGTCGGCTGATAGGAGGGTTGGATCGATGGGGACGGAAGGGAAAGTCTGGCTGCGCGGGCGGTTGTTGCTGTTGGCGGCTGGGAGACGGGATTGGCTTGTTGGTGTGAAAGGGCTGTCGGAGACTAAAGTGGATGTTGGGCTGACCATACCCGCCGAGGAAGTGTCGAGTGAGGTTGTGCTCTTGGAATACCCGTGTTGGTATCCCCCTGTCAGATCCGGTAGTTCAGCCATGTCCCGCTTGATTCCTTCTTGGCTCGTTGGAGACAATGGAGATCCGAAGCCATCAATGGGAGATGTGGGCGAGGGTCCGGTGGGACTTTGAAGAGCAGATCCAAAGTCTGTATTGAGCTGGGTTGGGCTGTTTGATCCGCTGCGAATTTCGGGTAGATCCTCTGCGCACCTTTGCGCCGAGAAGATTGTTCTTGTGTTTGAACTTTTCTAGCCAGGCTGCGGTGCAGACCTTTTCCTTGCCTTCAGGGCAGCCGCAAGTGCTGGCGAAGAACAGAGCTTTCTCTTTGATCATCTCATCGCTCAGGGGATATCCTTGGCGCTGATAGTTCCGTGCCCAGTTGGATAGAGCTTTCTCAATATCAGGGACTCTACCCTTGGGCCGTTTGATGGGAGACCGACTCCCATCTTTGGGGTTTAGGTACTTTTCCTTCTGGCGGAGGACCTTGGAAACAGTGCTATTAGATGTTAGATTGAATTCAAATAAAAAAACGATGAAGTTGCAATGATACCTTCTCTCAACTCCGAACAATGCTGCACATAAAGTCAGCCTAGTCCCTCAACACAGGTAAAGAGAGAATGCTTACCTCCAATATCAGTCTGCTTAGCAGTCTTGTTTTCCTCGTGATATATACACATTTGCCGACGATCGTCGTCAGTAAGTGTTCTGCGCGGTGTGAGACCCTCCAGTCGACGTCTTTCGCACTGGAGGCATGGGGGCTGAAGGCGACACCGACGTCGGGGTGGTACAAACAGGTAACCCAGACGCAGCAAACGGAGAGTGTGTCGCGAGCATGCTGGGCCAGGAATGCGAAGGCATGGGTAGCGGCATGGAGGCGTAGGGCGGGGGAATTGACATGCCATATGAGTCCACAGCCATGAGCTGCGATGGGCCGTAGTCAAACCCACTATATTCGGGCATGGGAGGAGAGTGCTGAGGTGAAGTAAATGTGCCTATTTCCACCCATGGCGAATGTGGGAATTCACCCTCTGGCCCAGAATGAGGCTCCGTTTCCATGGTGGGTTCCTCCATGGACAATGGATCACAAGCACAATGGAGATAGGGCTTTTTTTTGGTGGGGGTTTTTTTTTGTGATCGGCTTCGAGAAGAAATCAAAGAAAGAGAGACAAAAGAAATCCCGGGAACAATGAGACAATCTAAGGGTGAGACAATAAAAGCTGATGCATGTTCCACTGCTTCCGTAGACCTGTATAAAATTACCGAGAGAGTAATGTCCCTAGTAGCTCTATAAACTACCTGGGAAGTTGAAGGTGGGAAGTGTATAAAGTATATGATATGCAAGAAGGTAAGAGAGCATGCGGGTAAGGCAATGGGGTTAAAAGGAAAATGAGGGCTAGGACGATCAGTATCGCGTGGATTTGACAGAACTGTGTATATCGATTGCAACTGGCACGAGAAAGACCGTCCGGAGAAATCCATGATAGCGTTCCCCCGAGAGCTATCCAGCCGAACTGGACGGTTATTGGCTAATACAGTGAAAAAAAAAATCCATTCGAAAATGAAAAACAAAAATGAATTATAATAAATTATAAGAATAATATCTCAATTTTGATTTTGCGCAATTTCAAAATCATCCCTGTAAATAGAGGGGGGAACGGCGTCTGGTTGGTTGGTCGTGCGATATATTGCGGCAGGGGTTGCATCTCTCGTCAGGCTCAATTCGTTTTGCGTATTACAGTGTAAACGTATGGAAATCTTCGGTCTCAGGGCTAACGCGGTTTATTCTTGTTTTTTTTGGGGGGATTTTTTGGGATTTTTGTCTTCTTTTTCCCCCCTTCTTTGCATTCTCCCGTATGATCTTCCAACCAGGATGGCAGACTCGACAGTACGAGTATGTTGTATACTGGCAATATACAGAGGAGCATGGTAGCTATTCAATATAGGTCCAACATGGCGTCTAATATCGGTAACCTAGGGTTAATGTTGGAAAATAGGGTGCAACAGCGTGACCGTTCAGTATTTCCACTCGAAACCTTGACGAATGTTTGATAATGCCTAGCCCTTGACGGTGACTGTTTGTCTCGCTTTGACGAGGCTGAGGGTCCCTTTCAAGAAACTTGCGTCAAAAATCAGGGTTGATCATCCGGAGAAGAACGGGGTTCGTTCAAAGCGTAGCCCAGTTTGTAGCTTGATTTGCTCAGAGCCGGGTAGCGGATCGATAAACCGCTGAACCTAAAGCCCGCATGACATTCATGCACATCGCAGGCGAGGACGGCGATCAGGGTGGACCGAGACGAGGATAGCGGCAGACAGACTATCGACTATCCTACCGTGGAAAGAGTCTCCATTGGACATAGTCTCTATTTTGGCCAAAAAGCAAACTGTTGAATCAGAGACTCAACATTCAAATTCCTGCCCCCATAGGATGTATGTCGGGGCACGGTCCACGTTGTGGAGGTGAAGAAACCGGTCCGAGGGGTCTTAGTCTCTAGTGAACACAAATCATAAGACAGAACAGAGGGGACCGAGAGAGAGAGGAAGAGAAGCAAACCCCTACGGAATATATTGGATTGAACAGAGACCATATAAGGGAATATTACCAGATTGGGGCGATATTAATGTAGGAAGGCGGATCCTAACCTGGGTTCAGAATATGAACCGCATCAGACATCCATGAGAGATGACACGGCTAAAACTGAGCAAATGAGGAGCAGCGGGACGATCTTTGGGTGGACGAATCTGCCGTCTCCGTTGCCCTGCGGTTGATACGACCTCGTCCATCCAATACAAGGGCCGAACAGTAGGTTGGAGAGTTGCCCTATCACAGGGTGTAAAAGGCATCTTGGAAAGAGGGGGAACTTCCATTACGATGCGGTTTTGGCGCTAAGATCCCTCGTCTTTCTCCACTACGACCCACTACGGTCCCCTCCGGCCCGGGAACCTTCACCATTTCTTTGCATCTTGCATGTTGAAGGGCAATTAAAGGCAGAGAGAGAACAGATATAGAGTGTAGAGTAATGGATAGGTACGGAGTGTTGGTTGGCTGTCAAGGTAGTACTAGCAGAAGACCGTAGGACGGGCTTCTACAACATATAATACTCTCTGCTATACTCTGTACGGATATTCTCTTTTGGACCTCTATACAACATAGTCATACTACCCAAATATCCAAGGCCCCGCTTGTTCGACTCAACCACGAGGAAGATGAATGTGAAATCCGCCTGCTTTATTACACACACTTTTTCTCGAGATCTGCCGGGATGGAATATCTCTGAAAGACATCAAAAGATCAAAAGCAAAAACAAAGGTATTCGAGAGGTCTGACAAATCAATCCCGTGGACCCGTGGACTAGAGAGCTTCAATTGGTACTCCATATACCTTAGGTATGTATGTTTGACAGTCCATCTCCGCTGATTTAGTCGCAGTACCAATCATTATGCTTGCTGCCGTCAGATTTTTTTACCTTGCACCAATTAAATAGAGGGAAACGAAAGAAATACGTGACGAAATTTAAAAGATTTTAATTTTAGCACAGTTTTTAATTTAACGGAAATCGCGCTCACTATAGTAATTAATGGGTTTTCTAAGGGGGAAATTCGGGGTAGGTCTTGGGTTGACGCCATTGGAGATTTCCCATCTTTTTAGGGCACGTTGCTTTTCACTGTTCCCACTATTTTTTGGAGAAGGGGCAGGAACAAGTCTAGACCGGTCAAGATTGAAATTGCCGGGTTAATTCGTATATTTGCTTCTTTCAGTTTGGTCCGTCATTCTTGGCTGTCATTTTCAAGCTCCGGGGAGAAATTTCCTGATATCCCTTGGGTACACAACTGTAGGGTAACAAGGGTTAGTGTTACTCGACTCAGGTACCGATTGACCTGCAATTCTAATCCTGTCCGAGGTATCTCCGGGAAGTCGAATTGTGCATAGTTAGTAGAATCGTCTCGAGAAAATTAATGGTATGGGGAGTATATACTCCGTACTCCGTATATGTTACTAAAACGAACCAGTATTTATACTTTTTATACTTCGTACTCCATGCACCACAAAAGACTACAGAGTAAGAAAAACAGAGTAAGAATGCTTACTCTGGGGAAGAGCGTGGCTTATGCAATGCAATGCGACGGGGATGACCGATGGATCCTCTAGAGTAAAAAAGTGCTCCGTTATAGGATACCTAGGTATGGCGATCGGTGCCCTCACAGTCACCTGATGAAGAGGTTACCAAGTAAGTATTAAGTATCATACAAGAAATAAATACCGATCTTGCATCTGAGAACAGACCAGATCGCGAACAGTCCCCTTTCTCGTTTTCACTAAATCGACGATTTGCGGATACTCCACCTCACTAGAACTGTTTTGTGTCTCCGCAGAGGTTCATGAGAACTACTCAGTAGCGTACCAGACTCAGTATGTAGACTATAAGAACTCCCCATTGGGCAGAATGTAATACCATGTATAGTACAGAGTGGATGGGAGATCAGATAAACGTTCGCAATTCGACCAATATCTCTCTCATTCACCGCTTGTTTTTCTTAAAATCCATTTGTACCTTGCCTCACTTTTTGCTTTTTTCTGTTTGGTTGAAAACTTTTTGCTAGTTTGCATGTCAATCCTGCGCAGATCTGTACTTTTTTCCCTCAAAATTTCGGGAAGTAGTTGCAGCAAAGAAGCCAAGAGATTAGGACCTAAGAGGTTGAGAAAGAAAAAAACGTGCTAGTCAGTTGACAGATCCATTTTAATCCTCCCCTATCATTCACGAGGTAATATACTCCCCTGGACCTATCGGAAGCCAGACTAGCAGTGCCGTGTCTATTAAACATGCAATGGTTACAACCCGAAGCTCTCGTGGTTTTCGAGTATACGCGACCCCGTTATGATCATCGTTAAGCTATTAGCAGTAGGTCAATGCGTTGAGTCGCGGCCCTTCTTTGCGCCAGATTATGGAGTATGGAGGTACTCCGTATGCATACCATAATTACCTTTCCGGCTCTTCCGTCGAAGCTATCGAGTTCGATCCTTTTTTTTCCCGGAGCTTTCGAGCTGACAGCTACGGAGAGAAATATTGGGATCGGCGTTAGCAAACAGTGAGGCCTAGGCCTTTTGTGGCCTGACTCGTCAGCCTCGAAAGTAAAAAAAAAAAGGATTTGGGAGAGAAAAAGCAATGCGAACAAAGAAATCAACAGGCGAAAATCCTATAAACAGTTCTGTCAGAACCACTGGCAAGGATACATACTATGCAGGACGGGAAGTAATGGCAAGGGGAACATGCCAATCGGAACGTCATCGAAATAAATTGTCCATGCAGGCGTCCTCGGATCTGTGCATAGGGTCTGTTATGTACAAGACGATAAGGAGTCGCATGATGCTGCGTCAAGATAATACGACTCGACCGGGGGGGGCTGATTGGTCTGACATGGAAATTCTTTTATATGGGAATGGCAATTTGTGGCTTTCTCCTTGGAATATGTTGTAGCAGACCGTTCATTTATAATGGGTTTTATTTTCAAGACATAAAGAATGCCATAAAATATCTGAACTTTTGCGCTAGACAAAGAACCTGAAAAAAAAAGAAAAAGGTAATCATAACAATATGGACTGGTCCCTTCGAGGGCCAACCGAAGCTGCCAAGAATATCATGGCTAGGTATTAGCCTCGTGCATGCCCCTGGGCTTGTGTAACCGAAGCCTAACTCGAGTTCATCGAATCAACTCAATACCTTGACACCAGAGATCAGCACTGTGCTGATCCTGATGTCAAAAAGTAGATGACTTTCCCTCTAATTATGTTGCCGTGAACGAGTCTATCCAACTACGCTCGGATCCGGCGTCTTACGGATGTCCCAGAAACTGTCAGATCGCGGAGGCGCAAAGACATGCTGGCACAGACCACCCCAGCGCTTGGATCATCTCGCCGCTTCGGGCTATGAGGGTCAAGGAGTTGACATAAATCCTTTACCGCTTGACGATCGACACTATAGCTGGTCAGCTTCGAAATTCATGTTCGTTTTTCTTTTTGGTATAATTACCGATATCTTCATCGGCAAGCTCATGTGAAAGACCGACTCGCTGCG